AGACTCAGCCACACAACGTTACCGAAAGGCTCTGGAAATGGCGGGCGAGGTTATGCGACAGGGCAACAGACGAGAGTTTGATGGCACAAGCACAGATGCCCAACAGGCATAGTACCCTCTTGTACATACTTGGCAAGTACATGTAGTGGTACTACCACAGGCTACTGACAAGGTGCTACATGTAGGTAGAGACCAAAGTATAACTGATAGTAAATACAAACAGACAGACAGATGCAGTTTATTTTTTTGAACTCTCCGACGCCAGGTCCATTAGATGAAAGAGGGAGAGAAAAAAAAGGCCAAATGCCCTGTCCTTGCCGCTCTCCCTCTTCTTCTTCGTCCTCGTCTTCTTCTTCTCTTCCCCCGTATCTGCCGAGGCGAGTGTCTTAAGGTCAGATGATAGCGCAGGTAGGGCTCTTCGGATGTCTCCCCCCCACTGAATCTTATTGGTCCGTGGCCGTGCTTGACAAGGGGAGGTTCCAATACTTGCACGTTAGCAGCCTCTGTTGGACTTTCACGAGCCTTTCTGGAGAGGCGTTCAAGATAGAGTTAGTAGGAGAATAATTAAAGCCTCTCCCAGTCGCTCAAATGTGATTTGCACCGATCCAGGGCCATCAGGACATTGAAAAGTCAGCCTCCGCAAGTTACGAGTACTGAGTCGTTGGTGCGACTTCCATGCTCTGCCGCCCGATAGCGTACATGTAGCTGGTACCCGGGGAATAGGATGAGCTCTCCGCAACAGGACCACGACTTACTCGTGCCCGTGGCCACAGTACTAGGTACAGTAAGAACAAGAGATTGACGTCCTGTCTCAATTGCTTCATGTTGCTTGTTTCTTGACATCTCATCCCAGGTGGTGGTGAGGTAGAAGGAAGCAATCAAGGAACATTCCGGGCCCCACGCGCATTGGCTCTGCATGACTTTTGACTTCTACTGTTTCAGCTTTCCACCTCCCAATCTCAGAAACATGGAAGCCGACGTTTCTGTCTGTCTGCGCTGCCCACCTATGCCGTTTGAGGCAAGGGTGCGAAAAGGCTCATGGCCGCCACACGCTCGGAAGCTGATCAAAAACAGCACGCACATCCTTTACGATTCCATACCGTGCAGCTACCCCGAGCTGGGAATAGCCAAAGGCAGCCGCCGCCCGCGGCTTCTCCCAAGGCTGCCTGGGCCCTTGCGATCGGATTGGATTGATTGATGCCACGGGCACGGAGTCGCTGTGCTAGTCCCTACAGTACGAGCAATTGAAGTGTTTTTGCAGCTGAAGCCGTGGCCTCGCCCCTTGCCTACCTAGGTACAGTAGGGCCTTGATGCCATCTCGCACCCAGTGCCGTGGTACAGCAAAGGCCAGGGTTAAGGGATGACTGAGGGAAAGGAGACGTTGGATCCCGGCCGCCTTCAATCGAGCTCGATCATTGATTAGCGGTCGAGCCCTGGCCCATTTTCCGTTACCTGGGCTGGGCTTGAACCTTGGGGCTCCACTCTCGATGGTGGCGGATCTAGACAATTCACGGCGGACCCTTTACGGAGAACTCCATAATATTACCTCTCGTCCATGGTTCTATCACAGCGAGTACCGAGATAGCACACAGCATCATTGATAGTGCTGCTGGTACAATACTCGATGCGACTTGGTGGTGTGCAAAGCCAAAGGCCTCAACCTCACCCCATCTGACTGGATGCCAGGACAAGCAAGTGCTCGTACCGCCAAGTCGGCGCTCGTCAGCTTGAGCAGAGCTCCTTTGCAGCATGGTGGCAAGTCGTGCCGTCTGTGCGTCGCTAGCTCCCGTTGGAGCAGCCAGAGGGGATCGACAACTTTGCCTGCTCTGCTGTGAAATCCGGAGCACGGCGATGCGAGAAGGGAAGCAATCCGGTTTATATGGTGGACTGGACGTCCAAGCTGCAATCTCACCTTGGCCATCATCGTCACGAGCATCTTCATATGCACCGGGTCAGCACCGCATTTGACGAACCCCCCTGTGGTGGTGCAAGTAGCTTCGAAATAAGCGATAAAAACCCCCAAGGGTTTGTGAGAGTAGCTCCGAGACATCTACAGCAAGTCTCAGTCCCGCGTAGGTACGAGAATTATGGCTTCTCGAGGGCCATGCAAGCATGGACATGACATGAAGGGACTTTGAGGCCAGCAGCCTTTAGCTGCTTCTCTTGGCCTTTCTGCACAGCATTCATCGGGCGCCAGACCTCATAGTGGCGTGGCGGACGACGCCCAATCTGACGCTCTCAATTGGCTGGCTGCTACTAAGTCAGCGAAGCTATTAAATTGACCTGAGACCCCTCCTAACTTGTTTGTTTACTTGTTGTTTTCTCTTCTTTTTCTTTGCCGCTGACAACAGCGCACGGGGTAAAAAACAAAGAAAAAGAAAAGGGAAAAAGGGTAAATTCGCAATGCCTTTCAATATGGTTACAGATTGATCCCCGTCCTTCCGCCAGCCCGACATGCATGCAAGGACGAGGATTGTGTACAGGCACCTTGTATCATCCCGCACTCTGCACGGTCGGTTGCCCGGCCCAGCGTGCCGTGCAAATAAGGTGCTAAGCAAATCGTCACGCATTGCTTGAACCGGGGCCATTGTCGCCAGTACGAAGTACTCGTAACTTGGGAGACGACTGATTCCACGGACATCTGTCCGACTTGGGAACTACGAGTCCATGTGCAGCATTCACCGCCGCCCCTGCCCAGCCCAACGCTCAGAACAAGTTCCATAATATACGAGTCGGGAGCTTGACAACTTGAATACCGTTTTGACTGTATGCTCGCAAGGGGCCCTCTCGGCAACGCAAGCCGCCCACGGCAATTTGTCTCTCCAATGCAGGCTGCCTAACCGCCACGCTTCTCCCGCGCTGTTGATCTTCTCGAAAAGAGCTCAGCTGGGAAAATCAGTGGGCTGGAGCGGTGCGGCGCATCCCTCGTGTCACAAGGGGGCCAGTTCCGCCGACTTTAGTGCTGGCTTTGCTGCTGAATATTTGCCATCCATCCTCGCCCGTGCCTTGTTCCGACGGGGTGTGGCCCGAAACCCTCTCCCCCCCCCCAAAAACTAAGCTGCGCTTACTCTTGTTTCCATACCGAGATGCAATCGTGTACCGTACGGCCGATGCATCGGTGATGTGAGGGCAGGGTTTCTTTTTTCTGCGGGTTTGCGAGCGATTATTGTCCTCGTTCCCCCTTGGGTAAACTCACTCGCTTTATACCCCGAGAACAACTTTCAAAGCCCATTCCCGTTTAAGATACAGACAGGCACCAAGTACATATGTACGAGGGCCAAGTTCAAGTTCATGCAGCACTTCTTCTCTCCATGGCTTGGCCCGGACTTGTGCCCCAGTTCGTGTCAGCTGGCTTGGCCTCGTTGATTGGACGCCTCCTCGGCAGCGCTGCGTCAGTGGCAGAAGATCAAGCGCCGATTTTCCCTTCTTGATTCCTTCCGCTAGGCTGGCCGTTTTGGCAGTGCCGAGGAACAGGGTCCTGTCCTGCTCCAACTGTCAAAAATAAAAAGTTGGTGCCGTGTGTGCCATCGCTTTTTTGGAGAGATGGAGGGGGACCAACTCTTTTTTGCTGCCTGCCTTGGCCGCTTTTTTTTTTTTTTTTTTTTTCAAGACAACGAAATGATTTCTGGGGGACAAAGAGAGCTTTGCGGCGCGAATAGTCGCCAAAAGTAGGAAGATGAGGGATTGAGGAATGCTGATTCCTCTTGGTCACCTTTTGTTTACCCAGTATGGGGTCAGCAGTTTGTCGGTGCGCGCATGGTTACATCCCGTGTCAGTACCTGTTATGCCTGATGTTTTGTCTCCGAAAGCTTGCTTTTAACCATACGTTTCTTTTCTCTTTTCTCAAAAAAAAACTTTCGCAAAACATTTACAAGTAACAAGAAGGCAATAACAGAAACGTCAAAAGTAAAAGCAAGGGGAGAGAGAAGCCCCCCTCCATCAGATCACTTGGCATCTGAGCTTGTGGCGTCTAGGATGTTTCTGTCACAAGTACTCCGTCCCTGCGGCACAGCTGAAGAGTTACAGTAATACACCCTCCATCCTTAACAGCCGTGCTTCGCATCCGCAATACGGGCCTTTGCGCCAATGTGGTTCTGCAATCAGCGTCTTTTTCCATTTCCACAAGCCGCAGGGCCTAACAGGAACAATGGCGTCGTAAGCGTGCCCTTCGTCTTACCCGAGGGACCTTTTCAAGAAACCTAGGTAGGCTCTAAAAAGGATGTCTGCTTCGGTAGATTCTAAGAAAGGAAGTGGTCTGCTTCGGTAGGTTCCAAAAAAGAGTGTCAGGCTGTAAAATGAGTGTCTGCTTCGTTTCGCCCTCCAACCAGATTCGTTTGGGCGCGAGCGCCTTGTCCAGCCACCGGACGCCTTGTTTTATTATCTTTGGGAAGAGCCTGAACCTCGGGCGATGGAAAAAGCTTATGCTGGCCCTTTTGTTCAGCAGAGGCGTACCAAGCCTGGCTGTGTGGATGCCACGAGGCCTGTGCTAGGGAAATATTAAAACAGACAACAAAGGTTTGTGGTAGGGGGGGATGTCTACATGTGTATGTATGTATATGGATGCTCATAATGAGGACATTCTCTATTGAACTTGTCCAAGGATTATTCGTCGTTGATCTGATCTCTCGTATAAATGCTCTGCTCTAACCGTAGCTGTATTGCACAGGGTTTGTGACATTGTGTAATTGTCATTGACATGACAAGTTTTAATGATTCATAGAGATATAGCAGTGACAGTTGTCATTATTTGACAAGGACTTCAGTGTCCTGTAACTCTAATTGATGCCGGTACGAAGTGGGCTTCTAAATGTTGTAACAGAAGCAGAATAAGCCTTCCATGGCTGCGGCAAAGGAGGAGGTTGCGGCGGCAGTATTGCAGATTCAGCATCGTTTGGCGACATCTTGGCATCTTCGCCTTCTCCCAGAACCGCAGTCGTCACCTCAATATCGCCTTCTCCTAGAACCGCAGTCATCATCTCGACATCGGTTTCCTCTCTACCCCCATTCCCATCATCATCTGGGCATCTCTGTCGTTCTAATTTCATGTCCATAATCATGCTAAGCTCCGGACAGTATTCGAATATTTCCTTCCGGCGAGCTGCATCCCCCCACATGTACTCATTCAAGTTACTACTGCCCTCACGAACGTGATAGCCCATGAGCCTCTCCTTGTACACGTCTTCAACAGCAATGGCATCGTCTAATGTGGATGCAACTTTGGCATCAGGGAGTACCCATAAGCGTTTCCCGAACCACTCGTCTTCGGGCTCCGAGTCGTTGAAGCGTGCTTGAAAGTTGAGAATTCGCTTGATTACCGACACTCGACGTAGAGATAGGCCTCCATATCCAGAGAAGCGTTCATCACCCATGCTGAATTATGCATATAATGTTAGACAAGGGACTGAGAAAATGAATGTGTCAATCATGAGCACGTACCGCGCAGCGCCAGTCCAGTCCCAGTCAAGCCAGTCATCTACGCTTCTTTCCGAGTTTGCGCATAAGATGCTGTCATGCTCATATTTCAAGATCCATTCTACGTTTGGTAGAAACTCATCGTAGAACCTCGAGTCAGTGAGCAGCCGGAAAACGCTTTCTTTGCTCGAGATATTCCATGGAAGGGGAAGCTCCACCAAATCCAGCTTGCCAATCACTTGTTGATGTTTGATCGAATAGGCTTGGCTAACCCCAATTATACTCTCATTTGAGCCAATAAAGAGGAATCGCCAGTCGGGCGGCACCACTGCCATCATGTGCAGCATCAGAGGAGGCAAATGAGGCAGAGGCCTGGCCTCGATCAGAAGAGCGAGCTTTGACGAGTTGAAGGCGGCGCGGGGGTCTTTGGCTGGCGGAATTGGCCAGTCTAGCTTGATGTTGGGGATCATTTTTCGTGCTTCTTCAAGCCTGGATGAGACTTTGGAGACGACGATGGGTTCGTACTGGGAGTGTAGGCGACCCATATACCACCTACACAACGAACTTCTTCAGCACTTGGGCTCTTATTTGGAGAGTAGAGCAGGGTTTTGTAAACATACGTAAGAACCAAGAGTATAGGGATGATCATTCGAGCCGGGGCGAAACTGAGGACGCCGGAAGTGTTAAATCCGGACATGGCGGCGTGATGACGCTTTTTACTGATCATGTACATTCGTAGGAACAAACGATCAATTATAAAGATCAAATAACAAACAGATGAACAAAATTGAAATAATTCAGAATTTCTCAGACTGTCAGAGTAATGCGGGCGGTGAAGGATGAGTAGGTAGGAGGCAACAGCCAACAAAGGGAAGGATCGTTTATGAAGTACACAGGTACTTGGATATCTCTGCATTCTGCCTCGACTTGTCGTGGAAATGTCGAGTATCAAACACCCCAATGATTCCGAGAATAATTGCAAAGGAAGATTGTATTTTCACCAGATTCGTTACCGTTGACTGATTCTGGATCACAAGTTGTCTCTTCTTATTAAAGAGCACTCTCAAGCTCGGCCTGTCGGAATGCCCAATAACAACGAATATGGCCATTTTCTCGGCAACAGACTATTGGCTTGTCTCTGGAGCTTTAGGCGAAGACGACTCGCGATAATACTTATTGCCATCATGTCAGTTGCTATCCCCAACACCCCTTGCCAACTTCAGTCTCTGACCGTACGTCCACTAGACTCTCCCTCATAACACTCTTACATCTATCTTCCAACTTCGACATCTCCCTCTACATCCCGCACATCACCATCGAGTTCCAAGAAAAGAAGCGCATCTCGCCCTATAACACGTCCAAAGTCGCCCTCCTCATCGAAAATCGTCCCAATGCCATCCTCGCCCCTCTCATGCTGCACTTCATCTCCGTCGTGCCCCCCGACTGGCACTTCCGCTTCATGGGCTCCCCCCTTTCCGTAGCCTCCATCAACCGCTCCGTGGCAATCCGTCACCAGGTCGCCGCCGGGAAGCTCGATCTCACGTACATACCCGAGAACATGAGCACCAACGGGCAGGAGGAGATTAGCCAGTTTCTCACCACGCTGTGGTTGTACGAGGCTGTGCTCCAGCCGGCAGAATGGCTGCTGGTTTTCCAGACGGACTCCATGCTCTGCGGAAACAGCAGGCTGAATCTCAACGACTATCTGGAATACGACTGGGTTGGCGCGCCGTGGAACCCTGGCGGGCAGTGGGGTGGCAATGGAGGATTGTCGCTGAGGCGCGTGAGCCGCATCATCGACATCTTGCGCAATCAACGGCGGGCCAATGACTCTGAGCCTGAAGACGTATGGCTCTCTGAACGCCTTGCTCACCATCCCGGCGGAAAGGTTGCCAACGGATCCGTCTCGATGACCTTTTCGGGAGAGATGCACGATGGACGGTCTGAGCAGACTATAAATAGTTCCAGCACCTCTAGCACCTCTTCTAACATAAATCACGCTGACAATGACGACTATGTCGCAGGGGTTGATGACTGGAGAGCGGGATTCTACGAGCCAATGGGCTACCACATTGGTGGGAGTGGTTCTTTTCTACATAGCCCAATCTGGGGAATGCCAGAACTGCGAGAACATGTGTGGAAATACTGTCCGGAGATCAAGATGACGCTGGCCATGGACGTAGCCAAGTATATCCCGGGGAACTGCGGCGCAAGCTGGGCATAGGCACGATAGTCAACTATGGAAACAAGGACAAGATGATCAAAAACCATAGCAATTGTACATCCATTAGCTCCATTATATACTGCTACTTCTGAGACCAATTATCATCAAGAGTCCGGAGCGTCCTTTGCTCATATTCTCGAAATTAGCCATGGGACAACTAACGTCCCGGCAAAAGTTGAATACCCCACCAAGGTCCCAAATCCATCATACATAATCAACTGCCAACCACCATATTGAGCATATCGTTACATGGAAAGAAGAAAAAGGGAAGGTTGCCGTGAAAACGGGGGCCGTTTAAGCCAGCCCTTCCGCGACGGCATGGCCAACAGCCCCTGCCAGCTCACCAAAGAGGATGCCCCTAAACACACTCTCTCCCATATTCTGCGTCCACGCACCAGCCTGCTGCATTCTTTGCTTCCAAGCATCCTTTTGTGCTGCAGGAAGCTCATCCCACGTCTTGGCGGGACCGTGGACCTCTTCATCATGGACATCCAGATTGATCTTCTTGCCATCATGGTCCACAGCGGGATGGTCGGCCTCCCACATGACGAGCGTCTCAGCGGTATCAATGCCGCTACCAACTAGTCGAGAGACGAGATAGTCCTTGGAAAACGCAGCCGGTGGGTGAGTCGGATCGCGCAAAGTGCCATGCCAAGGGTTGAAGAACCTTTGCGGATTGAGGATGGGCTTGCTCACGCCGTAGATCTCCATGACACCCTGCCCGATTATGGCCATGATGAGAACCATGATGGTGAGGGTGATGACGAGAGATCGCCTGGAGGGCGCCTTGGCACGCATGGCTGTGACATATCGGACTGGTGCATCACCGGGGGTCTTTGCGGAAGATGCATCAACATGCCTCTTTAGAGCGATGCTGTGGACGGCGACACCGCGCTGGAGAGATATGCTGGCCAATTTGATGAATTGCTGAGTGAGATGCTGCTTCGGAGGGATAAAGTTGGAAAACGCCAGGCCGGTGATATTATCACCTTTGTGAACGTCCTTCAATGTGTACAGCGGGTGCAGGTTGGCAAGAAGCTCAATCGAGGCAAGAGCTTTGTGATCCATGGTGTAGAAAGTTATGGAGGCGTCGTTGCCGGCTACCGCAATGATGAACTGCGTAGTGCTAGTTGGTGTCGACGAAGACGCGGTCGGCGATACGTTTGCGACTGCAAGGGCAGTGGCAGAGATTTTCTTCGGGATACGTACATTCACAGATATCCGTGCCATCTCATGACCTGGGCTTGGCAGTCGGAATCCCTGGAGGAGAACGCCGCTCGACTTTGGTAGGTTGGACGCAGCAAGGACAAAGTTGGGTGTTACGAATCGAACGGAGCGGAATGCGGGCAGCTCGCCATGATCGTCTGTCATGGTGAAGATGAGTTGCGGCTCCGAATTTTTCTTGCCAACCTTGACCAAGTACAGTTCTTGCTTGTGGCAGTAGACAACCAGGTGTTCTCCATTCTTTTCGTCCTGAATGACATCCAGGTCTTCCGCATCCTTGGTCAAGTCCAGCACGCCCTTGACTTTGGGCTTGGGTCCGATGGCATCGAATATGGCCAGCTGAGGCTCCTTTCCCATGCCTGTAGCGGCGGCGCCAACGGATCCAGACACGCGCAGCACGCGCTGGTAGGTTTCGGCATCCCGGTCGGTGAAGTAGGAGCTTCGAGACACCTCTGCGACCTGTACATCGGGGTTCTTAGCACCGGCAGCTCGCGACTTGGTCTGCTCGATGGAAAAGGTTCGAAGGTGGAAGTTCTTTCCCTTGGTGATTTCTTTGGGAGCCGAGTTGATGCCCGCGAAAATGTACGAGGGCTTGTCGTCAACAGCGCCAACGACGCCGAGCGACATGACGCTGTCCTCATCGCGAGAGAGGTCGATATCTCCAGCCACTCGAAGTTCGCCCTGGTCGACGGTTTCAACAACGGACTGGTGACAAGAGAACAAAGAGTCAGCATTCAAAGACAGAAGCAGAAGCTAGTAGCTAGGAACTAGATCCAGGAGCTCACGTACAATCTTGTTGCCCACGCCAGAACGGCCAACGCCGCCACCGCCGCCGACAACTATGCGATTGGCATCCTGAGGATCAAAGCTGACTGCATAGAGCGGGTAGTCGAGCTTGATGGTCGCCTGCGGGAATGGGAGCGCCATGGTCGATGATGTCAGGGCTGGATGTCGCGGGTTGGTTGCTCAACCCCGGCCTGCTGGTTTAGGAAATCGGGAAGAATCGCGGCGGTCAAGATCACGAGAGGAAGAACAGTTGACGGCTATCGATTGGGAGTGCACGAGCGCGATCGAATTCAGGGAGCCATCGAGCTGGGATGGAAGACTCTGGAGTAGTTTGTGGCCAGATGTTCAGATTCCGCGAGCTTGGAGAGATTTGGCGGGGGATCGCTGCGGGTTAGTGAGCTGACAGGGGTGGCGGGAATGCTCGAGGTACTTTGTACCTTGTACCTCCACGGATGCGAAGAGTGCGAGATGCCGCCGCATTCAGCTTCAACCAGTTTCTATATTCCATGAATAAAGAGTCTCATTATGATATTCAAATAGTGAATCTGGTTCAGTCTGATCTAGCTTCCTAACGTAATCAAGCATAGAAGATCTCGCTGCAATAACTTGATGGCAAGACATCTATCTGTACTTTCGCCTGCTTGTATACTTAGGAACAATATATACTCTACCACAGGCACAACCTCAACTCACTCATCTGTCAAGTTCACATGCACCGCCTTGACGGTATAATATCCTCTCAAGCCGTCCTCGCCAAGCTCCCTCCCCAGGCCACTCTCCTTAACCCCTCCAAACGGAACTCTCACGTCGGAATCGTTGCTGCTGTTCACCCATACCATCCCAGCCTCCAGATCCCGAGCTACGCGATGTGCTCTGCCCAGATCGTTTGCGAATACGGCGCCCGCGAGTCCATATCTCGTTGCGTTGGCAATCTCCAGTGCCTCCTCCTCGCTGCTGAATCTGGCAACGGCTGCGACAGGCCCAAAGATCTCCTCTCGAAAGGCAGCTGTCTTGGTGTCCACATTTGTGAGAATTGTTGGCGGAGTAAAGTAGCCCTTGGATGGCACAGGCTGTTTGTGCGGGTGAAAGACTTCGGCACCAGAATCTCGTGCAGATGAGATGTAGGACATGATGCGTTCGGCCTGCGCCTTGCCGACTTGCGGCCCCTGGTACGTTTGAGGCTCAAATGGATCGCCCAGGACTGATGTTTTCTCGGTAAAGGCTCTGAATCTCTCCACGAAACGGTCATAAATGCCATCTTGCACTAACAGCCTCGACGTGGCTGTACACACTTGCCCCTGATTTGCCATAATCCCTTCGTGTGCCCATCTTACAGCCTGTTCCAAGTTTGCGTCGTCAAAAACAATCAGCGGCGACTTACCCCCCGTCTCAAGAGTGACTGCCTTGAGTGTTCCGGCGGCCATCCGCATCACCTCCTTACCCGTTGCCGTACTGCCAGTAAAAGCAATTTTATCCACGTCTGGATGCCGCGCCAGAGCAGCGCCGGCCTCCCCACCCCGTCCATTGATGATATTGATAACTCCTGGAGGAAATCCAGCTTCACGAACGAGCGACGCCACGTAAAGCATGGACAAGGGCGTCTGCTCCGCCAGCTTGAGCACAACCGTGTTTCCGCAAGACAAGGCCGGTCCGAGTTTCCATGCCGCCATGTCAAGTGGATAATTCCAAGGGATGATCTGGCCGCATACTCCAATAGGCTGCTTCACAGTGTAAGCCATCTTCTTTGGGCCAACGTCGATTACTGAGCCTGGGTTCTTGTCTGCCCATCCAGCGTAGTAGCGAAGGACCTCGGAGAAATGCGGCACGTCATAACTGCGGGATACCGACAGCGGTTTGCCATTGTCGAGCGTCTCAATGGCAGCAAGTATTTCGCCGTGCTTGTCCACCAGATCTGCTAATCGATTCATCAGGTGACCGCGTTCGGTGCCGGACAGCAGCCTCCATTCTGGATGCTTAAGTGCTTTGCGAGCTGCTTGAACTGCTCTATCTACATCGGGTTCCCCAGCTGCGAATACGGAACAAATGGCTTGCTCAGTGCTGCACAAGATTTGACACCTGCAAGTAAGCAAACGAGAAGGCCAAAGGGGAAAAACAGAACCCGCAACAGCAGTCTTCCAAGGATAGGGAGAGGATGGCTGGCACTACATACTATGGGTTGATTGTCGTTATCATATCTCCCCCAGAACTTTCGCTGAATTGATTGTCAATGAACAAGCCCAAAGGTTGTGTCCAGCTTATCCCGTTTGGCGCCGACAGTTCAGCTTCCAGGCGAGACGATCCCAGCCATGGCGAGTGACTAAATCGCCGAATGCAACTGTGACGAGAGGCGATACTTTGGATAGCTTTTGTCAGCCTTGCCACTGCCGTACACCTCCCTACTAACATTTCGAAGGGTGATCAAGCCGTATCCTCGACGGCCCAGTAATAGCTCGTATCAGCTTCGATATGACGAGTCTCTGTATATGGCGCTGCAATGACTGAATACCTTGATAAGAATTAGCTTAGACATCGGTGCCCAAAAATTCATTGGTGATAGTGGATCTGTGTCTCGTTGTAATACGGCCGTTGCAAGCTCAAATAGTCCATTGAATGCATAATCCCATTCTCAAGAGAGAGACTCACAGTAAATCTGGAAGAGAGCAGATATTCTCCAGAAGAAAATAATGATATAAAAAGGAAATCCGGCAGAGCTGTAAATATCTTTATATTCACCTTGAGTCAGGAAAACCAACAAAGATTCTCTTCCACCTACCCAGTGGGAAAATAAAGTCGATGTATTTGGTAACTTGCAGTCCCGCTTATTCTGTCTGTTGGAGATGTCATCTGAAGTTGACGATGGCCGTATCGCCCCACCCTTCGGAGATCGGATCTATCTTCTCCGATGGTACGTGCCATGCTTGAATTCGGCACTCGACTTAATATCACGGAGCCAGTTCTGAGCCCTGGAGATCAAATACAAATAAAATACAAATACGTCACATGTCATCCTAAGGCCTCGCACTTCTAGTTGACCACAATTAATATGTATTTTGTTTTTGGCCACCTGTGCCCGTAGTCTGGGGCACGAAGATGTGTGTCCTATATCTAACAAATTCCCAAGCAAACCAAATCCCTTCTCTGTTCATCAGTTCTTTTAGTGTGCTGAACGTAAATAGAAACAAGCGGTTTTCCAGGCGTTTCGAGAAGTGAAACTTCATCCAATCTGATTACATAGTTGTTGTTGTATTCCCAAATCCATAATAGCACCAATTTGACAGCCGTAAAAGAGCAGACGGGGACGTGTAAGGACCGAATAAACCATCATTAAACAACTTCCATTCGCACTCTCCTTTTCCTCCTTCCTTCAAATAGTCCTCTTCTTCCACAAGTGGCAATCAATCCACAGGGGTATATCTTCGCCGTTCGTAGGTGGACGCCCATTCTGGGCAACATTTCATAAAGTGAATAGATAAACAAACGAATGCAATGTTGAATCAAAACAGCTGATTTGGTTCAACCTGGTTTATTTTGATTTTGTGTTCATGTTTCTTTTTTTCCAGTAATTAATTAATCATTCCCGAGGGGAAAAAGGCAAAAGAGGGCATTCATTGCCTCACAACCCCTGTAATGCTTGGGCGAGCATTGGTCGCGACCAGTCGCTTGATTAAGCGGACAGCTATAATGTATAAATGATAGTAACAAATAAATAATTAAAGAATGAAAACAAGTAGAGCAAAGACGAATTACTATATGTAAAGTCAGAAGTGTCGGTTGCCCGACGGAGATTGTATTCGCGCTGGTACAAGCCAGGAACCCAAAAATTAAAAGCTTTGTCCAAAATCAAAGAAAAATTGATATCATGGAAGCGATGATAGATTATGAGTATTATGGTGAGTTCGGTTTTGTCAAGTGCTGCGTCAATGCCGATGCTAGCACAGACATATGTTATCGGGAGGAGTCGTGAAGTCGCACTCAGTGTCGCACAGCAGAGGGGAGGGATCAGCGGTTTACTACCAATGGTCTAGGTGCTTTCGTGGTGCGGTTGCCCAGCCCGTTTCGAAATGGGTTGACTGAGCTGCCCTCCACTGACCAGTCCTTAGATCCTGTTCTTGAGGTTGCCCGTGGCCCAACACATGCATGGGAGGAGGAGGTCCCTCCATTACCCGCAGAGGAGGCAATCTTTCTCCGCTCGCTGACGAAGTCGCGGACGAGGGTCGCGGCGGCGGCACTCCATAAGCCGGACTGTGCATCGACGGGAGGCCGTGCGTCGGACCACCAGACAAAGCACCATATACAGGAGGTGAGAAATCGGGACGATCGTCTGTGCGTCGAACCGGTCCAGGCCGCTCCGCCGATGACACCTCGCTCACGTAACCTTGAGTGGGAGTTGGAATGTGGTGGGATTGCATCAAGGGGCTTCGATCCGCAAAACTGATGCTCTTCGACAGAATAGGGCTTTGTGGTCCGGCAGCATGATTACTTATAGTGGGTGTTCGAGCAACGATTTCTCTGAGCCGATTGCGTTCGTCCCTGTAAAAGTCCCTATGGGCTTCGAGCTCCTCAAGTCGCTGTAGCATCTGCTGTCGCTCTTCTTTGAGCTCCTGCAGCTGCTTCATGTTTTCCTCCTGTAGTGTCTTCTTCTTCCTGCGGTGGCGGGTCGATGCCTTTGCATTTCGCTGCCTCTTTTCGTCTGCCTTCTTGGATGCTTGGGAGTAGTCTACTTGAACGGGAATAGGTGTGTCGCTTCCCGGAAGAGTCATGTAAGCTTGCTGAGATTCCATTCCAACAAACGAACTTCCCTGTCGACGCAACATCTCTGGCCACGGTGGTGTTCCCTCGGTCGGACCTTCCATTCTCGAAATTGGCCGGCTTGCGGACAACCCGGTGATTCCGTGTTGGAACTGCGACGGTGTATGTAATCCATGTGGTCGACTCTGGAGATCTCCCGGAGGGGGGATCGCCGGCGGCTGTACTTGAGGAACATCCAAGGGGCGGGCTAAAGGCTGAGAAAAATCTCTTGGTGGAGTCACCATTGGAGTATTCTGGCCAGAGGCAATTCCTGAAGATTGATGAAGTCCGGGAGCGTGCCTGGGCTCATCGGGAGTATCTGGTTCGTAAGGTCGTTTTGTGGGAGCCATGCTGGGAGCCAAGGAATGTCGCGGGTCGAGGTCCCGAGGAGGAAGAGCCTGACCAAGACTCAAGGCCCGGGGTGGTTTGGGACTGAGTATCTTCCTCTGGGGGTTCATTACGGGGAAAGGGTATGCTGATGAAGGAGAGTTTCGTTCGGATATCGGAGGTCTGCCTGTGGGCGTAACACCTGCAGCAACTGGAGTCGTTGGGAGAGAGCTGGTAGCAGCATGGCCATGGAGGTAGGGACGCGGAATGCCATAAGGAGTCGAAGATGCTGGTTGGAAAGCCTCGGCTTCCCTTGCTCGCGAAGGTGGTCGTCCGCTATTGTCGGGGCCCATGGAGTGTGAGTCGGATGGATTCAGAATATTGTGGACTCCGAATGACTTGGCCGAATGTTGAGCAGCACGGCCAACCTCGGGGGAGAGTCCAGATGGTTCATACCGCTGCGAAGTAAAATGGGAGAACTGTTCATTGCCGACAGGAGATCTCGAGGAGAAACGAGAGGGTGGGAGAGGGCCAAGTCCCCTTTGAGACATTGAGACCTGATCACCTACACACTCCTGATCCCGAGGATCAGTACATTGATTTCTCCCTCTGCCAATCAGGGATTGCAGTTTCAACTTGGGGGACGTAATTCGGGACAGAGACTTGGGGGACGTAATCCGGGACAGAGTTTTCGACAACCACGACGGAGTAGTTGGCGTGTTGGGAGAGTTTGGCGTACTGGCTCCGGAGGAATCGGAGGAGTGAAGATCAGGGCTGTCCTTGACTGGAGCAGGCAGCGCCCGTTGCCGCACGTCTACAGAAGAGTTCGCCAGGTTGACCGTGGTGTAGTCGGGGACCGGCTGGGAATATACCCAAACAGCCCCAGAGACTAGTGGTGGTGAATAGTTCGGATGGAGACTCGGTTGCGGTACTGGAAGGGACAGCAGGCGATCAAGCCGACAGTCCACAATGCAATCCGTTCTTCTAACTCAACAAACCCCTTGCCCAACGACTCGAATTGTCTCCAAACGAGTATATCGATGGGTTGCAGCCCGCGGAGTTGAATATTAGTTGTTGCGTCACGGTTATTGTGATGATTGCCACGGTAAAACTAGGAGGCCCAAGAAGATCTGTCTTGGGATGTTGATCGAGAATGTAAGCTCGCCCACGAGAGATGGATAAAGTTAATTAACAAGTATTATGGTATTAAGCAGCCCGGTGTCTGCTGGATCAAGGGACTCGTTCAGGCTCCTAACTCGAGTTAAAAGCTTTGATGGCAAAGTCAGCTAAACTGCAGCAAAACATCACTTTTGGTGCAGTCTGGATTCTAGGATTCTGCCAGCCGAAGGGTATGACAATTATGAGATATCAGACAAGATAGCCCAGCCAACCAATCGTCTGCCACGCAGTTTTGTTTCTTCTGCGGAACAAGAAGAGGGGGAATGTGAACGCAAGACTGTGTTCTATCGTGTATGAGGGGAAAGACAAAGTCGAGATACGCAGCCGTCGATGAGTCTGCAGTCCGCTCTCATGGTATTCCAGAACTCAAAGGAATGCCAGAGTGTTATAACGGACCGCAAGACTGAGATTGCTTGCAGTCTCCTCTCGAGAGCGTACTCGGGTATTGGGAAGTCCGAATGGGCAAAACAAGGAGAGAACGGTGATGGTGAGGGGGGCGTAGGAGAGGTTCGAGGGTAGGAAGAGGCCAAAGAAGATTTCACGAGGTCGCAAAAAAACAATCGAGATAAGGTAGAGGCAAACTGGGGACACGAGAAGATGAGGCGGAGGTAGGGAAGAGCTGCTTACCTGAATAAAGAAGAAGGAACAAGGAACAAAGAACAACGGACAACTTGGAAAGTGAGGCCTTGGTGAGGAAGGTACCGATTAGAGCAGATTACAGTACTCTGTACTTGGTACTGGGTACAGATCACGCCGAGCTCGAGTGCTTTTGGCAAATTAGATGCACTTGAAGTCCTACAACTCCCAGTCGAGGCCGCCAACAAACGACGCCGGAGCTTTCTATCTCGAAGAGGTCCAACGAGCCCGAGGAGGTAGACAAGTCAACAGTATCAAGATTCACTCGCGGCACTGGCAAAGGCAGACAAAGGAATAGAAGGGGGGAGCTGTGTGACGAGGAAATGGCGATGGAAGAGTTCTCATGAGAGAGCTTTTGGCTGGCGAAGGATGGCAAGCCACAGTGGGAGCATTGACTTGTTGACAGTTCGGCTTGAAATATGCCACGCTGGTGGCCCCTTGTCGTCTCGATGAAGGAAAGTACTGCTACGAAGCATTCGCATGGTCACGCCAGCCCAATGGTCTGTCCCACAGCCAGGGTTTCTGTGAGCGAGCATGGGGGTGGAGGCGCCACATACCTGTACATGGAGGTTTTTCGTGGACGGAGCCATCAGTGATTTGACCCATGCCGGAGCCAGGCCAGACCAGACCAGGGAGAGCGAAACGTCAGTCGAGCTACAAGCAGGTAGAGGTGCAGCAAAGCCGCAGCACGACCCCATCGCCATCAACCGCGGTCTCTCTCCACTGCGAAGAACCCGCTAGTAGCATTACAGCGCAGCTCTTGTCTTTCTTCTGGATCCACGACGGTGTTGGAGTCGGCAGCGGCGGGCAGGGATGTTTGAGTTGCGTCTTAGCCTAGGTGACGGTGTGCACTCACTATCCCCTTTTTTTTTCCCTTCCATCCAACAACCCTTTTTACCCCGGCAGGGCTCAGAGGCACCAGAAGGTTGGTTTGGTCTAGCACCGGCCAGCGGGCCTGCTGGCTAGCACCAAACATGGAGTCCTCTGACTAGGTACGAGTACCTCTACAGGCTCTGGCTTCAATTCCATAACGATCAACTGGTTCGGCGTCACCAAGCAATGTGACGGGGTCCGGGGGCCGCTTCTGCCTGTGTCGGCTCTTGTCTGCATCAACGGCAGGCCGACGGCACGAATACGTTGCTGCGATTCGTTTGCGCGCCGCGGATGGCGACTGAAGAAAGTTTGCTGCAATCGCGAATGGAAGCCTACTGGACCGGGGGAGGCACATTGTACAGCTGGCATCCGGGGAATAAAAAGGTGGATGGGCCAGGAGGATGGCGCGCGCCACGGTTCATGTGCAAAATCACCAAGCCGCCAAGCTGTGTCTTGACTGCCTGTGTTCAGCCTCTACGCCAGCCGTCCATTCATTTCCTCAGCAACATCCACCGGGTAGCCTTCCGGCAGAGACTAGCTCTTTCACCCAACGATCATAGGTCGCGATGAGCCACACGTCACATTGATGCGTGGCTACTCGTACTCAGGTACTTTTTTAAGACGCAACAGCAGACGAAGCAATGCTCCTCTTGGTCGAGTCTAGCCTGGCTCTATAGGCATTCTTCCTTCTTTCGGTCCCCACTGACGTGCGGTGACAACGATCACTTCCGAGCATGGGCGTCTATATGACGCTGTGCCGAGAGACACCAACTGCATCGCATGCCAGGCCTTACAATGCCATTGTATGTATGTACGAGGCATGTACGTACGGACTACTCCGGTACTCCGTATTATTGTCGCTGGCTAGGGCGGCTGCTCTGTGGCCTGAGAATTATATCATCTCTCTGCACTGAACCAAAATGCGCATCGCATATACGACACATAGAGCCATGCTAGCCATGATTGTGTTGTTGTTAGCTTGCCAATTGCCTGTCATTTTACCCGGTATCCGCGCAGGTCTTTGCCCGGAAGCTATTTGTCGGTCTAAGACGGAGCAGAGTCGGCCTGGACACGGCTACCAGAGTACCACCGAGCAGCACTGTATCTACCAGGACCGGCCCTTCCAGCATTATCACACCCTCCCGATCGGCCTGAGAGTTAGACTCCCGAATTGTCAAAGGAAACGATGACGGTCAGCTCTCCTAAGCGCGTCTTCAGGGCTATGATGCGCTGCCACATGACGTTTTCCACGTTAGCAGACAAGGAACAAGGGGTGCCAAGTGGCCTACCTGCATATCTGTAGCCTGCACCCAGAGCATCCATCGGTGGCCCGTAGGTACGGGTGCCTGGTCTCTGGCGGAATCGAGCCGACGCGGCGACAAGGCAACGCCAACTGGGCCAGATTAGCAGATTTTGGCGCAGGCTTTGCCCGGTTTGGGATGGGGGAGCTTGTGGCGGTTGCCAACTCGCTCACGATGCTGCGAAGGGCGGTCAGCACCAGCGGGCTGGCTGGCTAGCTGGCCATCAAATGGAGTCGTGGGAGGACCTACTCGCGCTTCATACAAGGCATGGATGCAATGTACGGCCGCTGGTTCTTCTTCGATAGGCTAGCCGTGCACAGGGAGACACAGAGAGAGAAGTCTTCAAGACCCACGACAAGACGCGGGCTCTAAGTCTTCAGGCTCATTAAGTAAGCCGGCCACCATTCGACTACATATGCAGCTCCCGAACCATTGGTTCCGTCACAACGCCACACATCACACGGAGCTTGCCTTGCTGCGACGAGTCGCTTGCTCGCTGCTCGTTCCTCTGGCCAACCCCATCCAGAGGCCTCGTGTAGAAACAGGCGGTGCGCAGGTATGCAGATACTACGGGTACTCAGGTCCGGAGCCCACAGACACGTCGACCATACATGCAAAAGTCGCATCGGCCGCGCTAGCTAAAGCGGCAATGGGTTTCCAATTGAGCGGTCGCCAAACAAGCCTTGCAGACACAACGCTAGTTTAGCACGGCACGGCGTTGCATGCAAGACTACCGTGGGCCATCTATTGTGGATGCCTGAGTGGATCGTTGTCTACCTTGAATAGGCACTCATTGATGGAGCCCAAATTGTCCACATGCTCGGAAAGAAAGAATCGCCAGGGGGCTCCCTGGTTAACAATTCCGACAGTTCCCAAGCTCTCCCTCGTCGAAGCCTTGCTATGCCTATCCAATGCCTACTCGTACTACCGCCGGCACGGAGAACTCCTTGATGCTTCTCACAAGCAGGGAGTGCTATGCTTAGGTACCCACAGACCTGCAGCAGCTACGGTACGGGCTGTCGACGGCAACACAAGTCACAGAACCTGGTATGAGTATATACGGGAAACGCTCTCTACTGGTGCTCCAAGCTCCAAAAGAACTAGTGCCAGCGACGGGAGTGTGAATGAGAGTATACCTGAGCCAGAAACAGAAGACAAGGCATCTAGGCTATCTGTGTTTAGCCACCACCTAACTTTGTACTGGGAAACGCACACCAAAAGGGCACCATCCTAGTTGCCGAGACCAAGCTCTGCACACTTTACTGTACAAGTAATGGGCAGCGTTGCCACTACAAACACGCCTGGTAAGCCAGGGCAGTGCAGCACGCAGCACCTAGCAAGTGCTCATACTTGCGTACTTTGGGGCATATCAGCTCATTATTCCCTGCCTCTACTGCACCGTAGCTACATACTGGCAGTGAGAGCGCTCAAAGGTCTTACTTCTAGCCGCTTTCAATCGCTGGCTTGTCCATCTAGGGAGATTCCTACGGCGATCTCTTGGTCCTCCCAGCTACTGAGAAGAAGCGAGAGCAACATGGCCGGGGATGCCGTCATGGCCGCCTTGAGAGAGAATGGGAGCAAACATGGCGTCTCGGCAGGAAATGAGGTATTCCTGCAGTGCCCATGGGTTGTGAACAACACTATGGACAATGAAACCTTGCAGTGTCAACTCTACATACTATAACGTGGGTGCTTACCTGTGGTAGGCATACGGCAAGCTCTGTACACACTACCTACCTACTAGGTAACACCTACCACACAATGAGGCACCATTCTCTTGCTGCCCAACCTGAGTACTAGCGGTAGGCCGGCCCGTTGACACGCGAGAGACGGCCAATTTTGACATACCGGCACGAGTACTTGGTACTTACAGTACAATGGACGCCTCCAATAGTGCTCGAATCGTCTCAACCAGGAACGGTAGACCCGACCTGACTCGGTTAATGTTGGTTCCCTTTGCGACTAACCATGGCCAGTGCCTATTACTACTGCTTATACGGAACCCTGCCCACATGGCTTGGAGTATGTCTTGCTTCTATTCCGCTCCCTCGGGTTGGGCGTCATGTGTGGCTTTTCCCGCAGTCCAATCTTCTTCCTTCATCCGGCGACTACGGCGCCTATGCCAATATGGGGAGGGGGGAGGGTCCCAGATGCCGGTTGCCTCATGGAGACGTGATTTGGGGGCAAAAAGTGATGCTGATGCAAAAGAGATGAAGCTGGAGAATTTGAAGCACGTGGTACTTGTTCCTCTGGAGATTAATCTCTATGCGAACCAGGTACGCAGTGCAACACACCACCTTTTAGGCCCGCGATGAGTGCCTTTGTACGGGCTGGCTCCTTTGCTGTAGCAGGACTTGAGTGCAGTACCTGTAAGTAGGCTTGGGACTCAGCACTCTGACACATTACATCTTGCTACCAATGCTCGTCCTTGGTACTACCACCTACCTCACCAGGCATCGAAAGCCCACGTAGGGTAGCTGGGAGAGTCTTGGCGAGTTCCGTCTGCCTCGATTCGTTTTGGGTCAGTCAACCAGAGGCAGCCCAACATACCATATACACCTCATTCAGAACACGCCGACGTTGATAACCCAAGAGCTTCCAGCATATACAAGTACGAGTGCAAGCACTTGCTTGCCCCGGTACGAGTATGATGCCTGTACAAGCAAGGTCCTGCTAAGGAGCCCTATCGGGTAACTGGGGGTTGCATTGGACCAAGGTGGTGTTATCGACGTGTCAAGGTACCTATCTCTCCGCTCAACTTACGGTGAGGCTCTGGTACCCTACCCGTCCTAGCTGCAACTCCTCGCACTTGCCGTGGTCTGTGCCTCATGACAACAACACCATGTGTTGTCAACCAGAAGAAGAAGAAACATCAAAGCGTTCGACGGCTTTCCCTTTTCATCTCTGCCTGCATTAGCCACATCTCAGGCAGGCCAACTCATGCATCTCACTTCCACGAAGCCAGGCAAGAGGAAACAACCGACGGTCTCAGAGGCTCCCTTTTCTCATGCAGCAGGTCTTTTCGCAGCGACGGCCGGTGCATGTCTCTCCCTCGAATCGACGACGGCTGACCTGGAACATGGCTCTCCCCAGTCGGGCCTCGAAGGATTTGCCTACACCGGCTCTGCCTATCATCGCCATCACCGCATGGGCTCATCACCTAGACCTAGTCTGCTGTATAGCGGACCAACCACCCCAACCACCAGTCTCATCGGCAATAAAGCTCTACGATTCGATGGGATGATCTCACCTGCACAGACCAGACCGCCCCCGCCCAGATGCCAGGCATGTATGTGCCCTGCCGGCTTGTCAATTGGCGCCCACACGGATCCGACATGTCATTGAGCTTGCGTCTGTCATTTCCTTCTCATCTTGTCTACTAGGACGAGTGCTCCGTAGTGCGAGTGCCAATGCCACTGCTAATCCAGTAGTAGTACTTCGTGTGTACGGGTATAGGTACATGTAGGGCTCCAGCATGGTAGGCACAAGGTTGGGGGCCCATGCCCATGCCCATACCATTTACGAGTACTGATACAGAGTACAGTACATTGAAGCCGCTACTGTCCAACAGCATCTCGTCATTGATGCCACAAGCAGCGATATGCCTGCTTTTGCTAGAAACTCATCTCAAACGACGCTGCTCCTTGCGATGCACCCATTATCATGCGCCTCAGAGCTTATCAACCTCCTCTATGGCACCAACCCCGACTTGAGGAAATACTACCAATCGAATCTAAGCAAAACCCGGTACCCTCCTGTGTCTATCTATAGAGCGCCTTGGGGGCACTCAAATTACACAAGGGCATACGAGTATCTATAAAAAACCGAGGCGTACAGTTATTCATTAGCATGTTTAATTGGACACCTGATATCATGACTTAATTTCAAGACAACACGCCACTCCATCTCAGGCCGCTCTTTTCAGACTGGCTGGTATGATACGGAGTACTCGCTAGCGATGTGTGCGTATGCGTTGGCCGCAGATTGCATGCTAAGGTATTCGCAGTTGCTACTATGAAGATGGATCACTAGGCCTCGCTGTGCCCAATGGATAGGACGCTTCCCGTCTCTGCAGATGCTTTACACATGATTGGCCCCATGAGGAAGCCCAGGGCGGCTAGCAGTGCCCATTTACATATCACACACATGCACGACCTACAATTGGTTTCCACACCCGTCCCTGACTGCCGGGCCCTGCCACGGCCTGGACGCGGGGGGACCCAAGGGCTCAAATCCCAAACCTGGGTGCCGAGACATGTTCCCCCGAGGCCCATTATGCGGCCTCCTCTCGTTAAGCAGGATACCTACATGCAACTTGGACACAGGTGTGGTGACACTCTACAGCAACCGACCCAGCTCTGTGGTTTTTGCAGTAGGATGCGATTATCTAATGTGCTTTTCGCCCGCTTGGGGGAAAATGTTGGAGAAAACTCCCGGGGGCAGGATGCACCTGGACGCATTGGGGGATGATTGCATTCTGCCTGTGCCCGTCCTATGACTGCGTGACGACTAAACATTCGGCGACACTGTGGATGCCTTTGGATCTCATGGCACAAGAATATCATCGGCGAACAACTCACGAGGGGACCCACCAGGTCAAATAGAAATTGGAGGAGGAGTGTGCAAGTACTCGTACGAATGAAGACAAAGTTCTGTCATCTCGCTGCATCTCAAGACCACTTTTACAAGGCGAGAGCCGTCGACATTCCTTCAGACAGGCGTGAGCGACAGGACCCTTGAACGCCAGCGGAATGCTAGCGCCTAAAAGGGTCTTTTCTCATTCAATCTAGGACGGGACAGCAATCTTGCTCTAATTCGAGACTACTTACTGCCAAGTACGAGTAGGCAGATCCCACTTGATGTCTCGACACGGCCGTGATGGGACCTTGGTAGCAGCGCATCTGCTCGTATTCCCTGTCAGCTATGTATTGTACCACTCTGAAGCAGTCATGCGCAAAAGTTTCAAGCAATAATCTTCCGGAACACCAGGGCCAATATCTGAGTGAAGCTCTATACGACGCTAGTTGTGTTTAATCTGCCTCGTCAATTTAAGAAGAAATGAGACGAGAAATGAGGTCGACCGGGATAGTAAACAAGCGGAGCTTCCGTCACAGCTCTACTTCTACTAGCAGTAGCATGAATCGATGGCTTGCATCATCACCCGCCACCAAAGGCCACCATCATGACCAAGCGCCCACACGAGCGGCTCATTTCTGGACCCCTCCTGGTGTAGGGATCGGGCATCGTTCGAGCATCCCATGGCAACCCAACGCCATCGTCACAACCACAAGTTACAATTACGTCGTACTAATCATCATACCTACCCTAGCATGGGCGAAGCGAATGCGGAGCGCTTTCAAACAGAAAGACAAAAAAAGAAAAAAAAAAAGTATTCGCGAGCATTCCCAGCTACACTCTGCTCAAAGTAAATAGCTAGTGGGCACTCTATTATGCCCCACGCTGGGCAATCAGCGTGCCGTCGCGGACCGTCCGAATCCCAGCTCGGCTGCACAGACGCCTTGCTTCTTGTCAAACTAGCAGATCTCAAAAGGTGCATGGTGCATGTGTGAGATGTGAGATTTGTCGAGATCCAACACAGGCATGAGGCACAAGCAATGCGGTGCAGTGCAGTGCAAATGCGGTTTGCCTCGTCTCCTCTCTAATATATTGGTATCCACATGAGCACTGCTTCGAACATCGCGGAACCTCACATTCAGTCGCAGTCGCAGCTACAGCCACCAGAGACAGCTGCACGACACCAGCTCAAGCATCTAGCAAGAGGCTTTGCCTTCGGCCCGTCCCTAGCTCTATCAAACCGTGAACTCTCGACATTTTATTACTGAACTTGAACGGACACATCTTCCTGTCTTTATCCGCCGGTGCTGCGTGAGCTCCGTCCCAAGAGGCGGGGGGCTGGCAGGCTCATCAAGCTCGGCGCCACATCGTGACTGAGATCCCTCTGTCGTCTTTGATTATGCTTTTTTTTTTCTCTTTGCTTTTTTCTTCGTCTTCGCGGATGCGCTATTCTGCGGGCTGCTTTTTGCGCCTAGTTGGGGCTGAGAAATTACCTGGCAGTTGTATGAGAGCGGCGGCGGCTCGCAGCCCCCGGTGCTTGAGACAAGAAAAAGAAGATCTGTCTCAACCCTGGCCCAAGCAACATAACATGTACAAGTACCGACCAGGGAACTAGACGGGTACAGAGTACTAGTACGAGTACATGCGACCAACGGCCCTGTACCCAGTCCTTTGTGGACACATCAGATGGGGAAGGGCCCAGATGACGCGACAAGTTCTCCGTACTGTATGTATCTATGGCATGCATTGCATGAGGACCTAAGCTCGACAACCGGTCCCTGCAAACCACCGTGGTCTACAGGTCCTGACCCCATCCGCCTACCCGGTTCATGCAGCGCTTTACGGTGGGTGCGCTGGAGGCTGGGGCCAGCCAGCTACACCGGTTGTTCTCCGATGGCATCGGCCGACGGAGCGCAGGGATGGGAAAGGGCATCGTCGTGACCCTAACGGTGTCGTATGCAATGGAACATGTAATGGAACGGCCAAAGCGAATCACGGGATCCCTACGTGGAGCGAGTGTGATCGCTTAAGATTGGCAACAATACGAAGTGATCCAGACGTGTGCAAGTACTATATGTTGGAAAGGGAGGGAGTGATGCTACCACTACCGCTAGCACGAGTACTGTTGGTGGTTTGTGCTGGAGGATGTGCATCTCGGCCCCGCAAGCCTTGCTGCATGGATGCAACTACAGGTACGAGTTAGACGTGGCGACCGCCTAGCGGTTGGATTTGTGCGGCGCCCGCCTCACTCTGTTGTCAACGACGCATTGGATGGATGCTGCCCGACTGTCAAGGGAGTTGAAATCTTGGACGAACTCATGATCAGGAGTCATGATGGGGGTTCACATTGTCTTGGGCTGCAATGTCTGTGCTGTGCTGTACTCTGAATGCACTTCATCGGGAGGATCATGCTACCAGTACGAGTAGCTGGCAATAAGGGGCGTACAGGTATTAGTTGGCTTCGAGCAACACAGCCAACCTCACCGTTTTCCTTGGTTGCCGCCTCAATGCAACACTGCTCCTTGCCATTACATCTATTTCCCGGGGGGCCACGGAGTGAGGCATGGCTGGGGCTGTCCGGGATGATTACCTATTCGGAGCAGGCAACGATTTGCAAGGCCTGGTTGGCTCTGGGTATCAAAATGGCAGTGAAATGTGAGAGACCACCGCTTATCCGCATCAGTTCGAAACCACGTGAAATGCAACTGACAGCGACTGATGCTGATGTGATTCGCCCTGTCGGACAAATTCCCGATGGGAGGTTTGCTATGCACAGCAACGGAGTTGCCATGATCCTACGCTGCATGGTGTGATCACAAAGGGGTACAGTAGGTACTTCTGGCGATTGATACGCAAACGTGGGAGCAAATCTGCCCACTCCAGCATTGATAAAGTACTGTGTTTCCAGACAGGCTAGACTCATACTGCTTCTATCAACTGCTTGATCAATTTATTCTACTTTCAGATATGCCGTGAGCGGTATAATGGATAATTTGGCCGACCCCGTAACGCCACAAGCTATGAGATGTTGCAACACTTAGCACTCGTGTTAGTCCTCGCCGAAGAGAGTTGACATTTATAAATCGAACAAGAGCAAAACTCACCAGGCCTAAGCAGCCGTAGACACCGGAGATACCATCATACACGCTAACTAAACATGAACAGCGAGGGTTTTGACTTATTTGGCCCTGTTCTCGTAGGATTCGATCCCGGGTAAGTTCGAACAAGACGGCTCGCGATATCAACCCAACCTTCCGGGTATTACTCCGTAAAAACTCCACATTATCTCCTACCCCGCCATTGCTCCTCAGAGAAACTCCGTGATCGCTGGGGCCCCGAATATAAGGTTACTATATAAACACGTTTCTCGAATGATTCAAGATATTCAAACAACATCTACAGAGTCACCGCTTTTCTCGAATTTCCAGCGTGGCGTGGCAGGCAACTGAATAATGGCATCTCAAGAGTGGAAAGTGGTCGAGCCCTGGCTTGACCTAAAATGCGCGCTGGGCGAAGGACCATTTTATGAAAAGGAGACCAACTCGCTGCGTCTTGTTGACATCAAGAAGAAACATATACACACCGTTTCTTTAAGCGACATCTCTCTAAAGACTATCCAGCTGGACGTTTGCCCAACCGTCACGGCTGACATCGAGGGGGTGGAACCCCAGGATCGCATTCTGATCGGTGTTAAACATGGACTTGCAGTGTTGGATCGTCAAACCGGAACATACAAGATGCTCGCGCCCTTCAACAGTCAAGAAAACAACGAGCGTATACGCGCCAACGACGGTGCGGCAGATCCCCATGGCAAGTTTTGGCTGGGGACGATGACGGACTTTGGGCTTGGGGAATTTCAACCAGAAGGTATGGGCTGACCTACGACTGTATGATGCTTTGCCGCCCCCTGGGTGGCTGGCTCACCCCTCACGCCGGCGCTGACGGCTTCTCTGATAGGGTTTCTGGCACGCTTTGATTCGTCCAAGGCAAAAGAGGAGGTCCTAACTGACCTGGTCATCCCCAATGGCATTGGGTGGTCACCAGATAACAAAACCATGTACTTTACTCACTCCAAGACCCGAGAGGTATTCGCCTTTGACTACTCACCGGAAACTGGGGCAGTAAGCAACAAACGCCTTTGGTATCGGCATGAGGGACCAGGCGAGCCTGACGGCTTCCGCGTCGACGTGGACGGAAACGTGTGGCACGCGATTTATGGGGAGAGCTCGGTTCTCAAGATCAGTCCCGATGGCAAGGTTATCGGAAGCATAACTCTGCCGACTAGGAACATTACCTGTGTCCAGTTTGTGGGGACGGAGCTATTCATCACGTCAGCAGCGGACGAGGAGGGTGATGAGACGAGTAAGAGGTATGGCGGTGGTGTCTTTAAGGTTGATGTGGGGATTGCGGGCTTGGAGCTATTCAAGTTCAAGTTATAATTCAAGGGACTTGTCGAAAGGCATAGCATACCCCTTGCAACGTCAAACGCCGACGCCGCATAGCCTTATGAGCGAGAGGGCTAAGGCTTGCCGTGTTGAGAATGGAAAAATAAAAAGAGGGAACATAGAAGGATTGCTATCTAGACCGTTTCTGCACGCGAGGAGCTGCTTAACTGGTTGTGCCTGACATTGTCCTTTGCATTGTAGTCCAGATACGATACTGATGCGTTTGAACCAACTACGAGGGCAATATGCCCAACGCTCACTCACGCTCACATGAAAAACATGGAAACTCTCGTGATTGGGGCCACATGGCTGATAAGCAGGGGAAAAGAAGCAAAGAAAACAAGGAAGAGGGAGGCTAGACTAGATGATGTGTCCAACCCGCCCTACTGTACGCCAAGTATGCAATTCTGAAGCAGGGCCGTCTGCAAAGGGCACCGAGAAGCATGCAGAAGTGCATGGGGGAAAAAGCAACTAGATGTGCTGGAACGTTTGTAAGGCTAATAACTAGCCATACCCGAGATATGAGAGGGAAGAAGTTGGGAGCTTGCAAAAGTTGTAGGGAAGAATAGGTTGCTGGTGTTAGAATGCGTGGTCTTTTTACTAATTAAGGGGGTGATTGACTGGCTGCAAAAATAATGAAATGATCCTACTAATAGACATCTTTCTTTTCTTCTTTCTTTCTTGCTTGTCAAAGAGGGTGATACCTTTGCAGCAGCCTCGGCCAGCAAGGCCGAGGCTGGATAGAACTCTAACATATTTCCGTTTGCTATGGCAGGGACTACAAAGACAATTGCTCGTCTGGTCCCTCAACACCCCATCTGTTCATGCGGATCGATCTAATGGCTTCAATTGAACATGGATCGTCTTATTCCCTTCTAGCTCTTGTCCTCAAACTCGATGTTTCATCAGTACTACATTCTACGACTAGCAAGTCTAGCCTACCTACCCACAGCCGTCGTATGATGGCCCTTCAGGTATCCATGCTGTACAAAGCGTACTGCTGTACTCGCAGTACTCGTACATGTAGTCATACCATTGACAACAGCAGACAGCCTTTTGCTCACCGCTGCTACCCATTGCTCAATGCCTTGGCTTCATCGCCAGCCCAACTTGGAGACCCGACTCGAACCCCCCCTGGTCCCGCCTCACCGCCTGCGTTGTCGCAACCCCGGCCCCGGTCTCCGGGTTTCCGGCCCCGCATGCTCGGGGCGGTTCGGTCACGTCCTCTTTTTTTGCCCAATTGATACGAGCGTGAAAGCAGAAGTTACAAAGTGCGTGTACCTTTGCCCGTAGCACTATCAAGTTGGTAGCACAAGTAGCAGTACAAAGCAGCATGGAGAGCAGCAGTGATTTGCTCAGAGTTCTGGTGGGTGGGCACGGCATGAAAAAAAGACGACGACAGAACAAAGTGGAAACCGTTAGGCCCGCTATCCAACGACAAGGGGGAGTGAAAAAGAAGCCCATCCATCCTCCAAAGCTGTCTAAAGTGAACAGGGTTTAGCCGATAAACGGCCCCCAAAAACGCTCCTCGTGCCAGGGTATTGCTTCTCTCTCTCTCTCTCTCTCTCTCTCTGCTCTTGTGCTTTGCCAAGTCAGACAAACCTAAGTACTTAGCTTCGCCAGCGTAGCATGCGGCTGCAGTTCTCTCCCAGGCGCAGGAACTGCTAGGACAGGGACCGTTCCCGGGCAAAGGACAGGGGCGCAAGGGAAAACGTGCACGCTATCGTTATGCATACGATGCATGGACTAAAGCAAGTGCGTGCTGCAGGCATCTCGATCTGGTTATCAAGGGAAGCCGGCGGGCGTTTGGGGCGAGATACGGCGAAGCTCGGCTAGCATTGATGCGGTCAAGAGTGAGTTGCTTGGGCTGATGGGTGTATGATTTTTTCTCTTTCTTTTTTATCTAGCTGGTTTCTGGGGAAGAGAGAGAGAGAGAGAGAAAGAAGAGAGAGGAGGTTATCAGCCTTGTTGTGCTTACCTAGTACAACTACTGTATTAGGTGCTTCTCATAAATCACATTGTCGTGAACCAACGGTTTCTGACAAACCTTATCGACCGGTTTCCCCCTTCACGTTCTAGTTCCAATTGATACGAATCCAATTGATTCTTTCTCTTTTCTTTTCTTTTTCCAATTCCTGAAGCAAGTCCATGCACTCATCGACAAACACAGGCAAGAGCCGCGGATGAGTTATTGCCGCTTCCTTCACCGCCTTCTCCCGGACATTTTTTCCCAACTCCCACCCCTGTCCACAAAAAAGAAAAGGAAAAAAAAAGAAAAGAAAAACTTCACACCACAGCCAGGGTAAAAGGGGCCCCAACCTCTCTAAACCCCCTTTGCACTCGGCATGGAGTCAAAGCGCAGCGCAAAGCATCGGCTAGCTGGACCGCTGGCATGACATGTTGGCCTTGTTTTCTCTTCTCGCGTTCGCTACGCCTGCTGTACGAAAAGGGACAGGGAACGGGGGATGAAAGAAGAGGCATCGAGATGCTGACCCGAGCCAGACGCAGGGCGTCCTGTACGTACTTTGTCGCGCAGCAAACCCCGTTCTAGATGCTGTGGTAGAGCATATGGAATACTACAGCTCCAAGTAGGTATAGTAGTCGGACATGATGCCTCGTCCGCCATGTACCGGTACATGCCTCGAGTTGGAGTTGCGATCCACCGCCAAAAAGCAGCGTCAAAAGGACCCTCTTCGCGTTCACTTCTCTCACACCCGGCAGGGCCATGATTTCTGCTTCTCCAGCTACGGCTACCCCCCTCACAGGCGCAAACATGATGATGATGGTGATGATGATGCCGGTGACTAATCGACGGGCTTCCGCGCTGTCTTCAGCAGACGAACGACAGGCTCGAGCCGCGAGCCGCGAGACAAGGGGGCCTTTCTCCTCTATCCCCTCCAAAAGACGGACCAGAGATGCTCGACACTTGGATCCATCCATGCCACGCTGAGCGGCATGCCCGTCTCCCTGGTGGGTTTTGGCCGCATCGCGGATGGCAGCTCCGTCCTGTCAAGCTCTGCCACCTCAGACCTGGTGAAGCCTCGTGTGTGTGCTGTCAACTCGACTAACTGGCTACCTGTACTAGCACTATCAGCTCCCCACACGACCGAACCCTGCTGATCCTGCGAGGCAGACGAATGGACCCGGCGTGCTGGCAACCTGAAAAGGGCTGTCCCGCTGTTGGGCTGACATGGGTGTGTTGGCATAGCTGACCAGGCCTTCTCTCCCCCCCTAACCGATGCTGTCCATCACCCTCGTCTCTTCTAAGTCGGTGAGGTTTGTGAGGGGGCCTCAGGTCTCACGATGGCCTCATCACGACGGTTGCTTGATACTCGTACTCCATGTACGAGGTTGGCTTGCCCTGTCCGGCTGTCGACTTCTCCCACCGCTTCGTTGCGTTCACCCCTAGCAACCGTCGTAGGTGAGAGTGCAAACATCCAAGAATAGTAGCCTCTTCTGCTTGTTGTCTTTCAACTTTCCCTTTTTCTTCTTCTTCTGCAGCTGCGCGAGTGCGAGAATGCCTTAACCCTCAAGGCCGTGTCTCTTCTCGCAGACCGCCCCTTTTGGGTTTCCTTTTTGGTTCCAGCTGGCGGTCCACACGGGGTTGGGTGTGGTTTTGCACGTCTACTGTATCCTTCACTCGCTGCAAACAGCATTGGAGAAACGCGGAGTAGCGAGAGACGACACTAACTTGTATCGTATAGCCTTCTGGTCTCTCTACGTGCATACAGCCTGGACATACACTTGGTGCTAGTACTCCGTACTTACACCGGATACTACCACACAGAAGCATATCTCGTTCCCCGGGTTCGTGCCATGGCCCTGCCTAAGCAAAAAAGCCCCAGAAAATTCAATGGCAGAAACCTGTCCCTCGTCTTCTTCCCACGTGCAACAGCCAGAGTAGCATTGCTGGCGGGCGCAACGGCCACCGTTGTCGTCAGGTTTTTTTTGTCTCTTCTCTTCTGCCAGCGAATGACCTTTCGCCATCCCCCGGACAAGGTACATTTCATGCGTGTGGATATTCCGACGTGTGATCCAACTTCCCGTTAAAAAAAAAAACCTGCTGGCAGATGATATGTACAAGCACACAAAACAGCAGCAATGATGCCGTGGCCCGTTGGTTCTTTGCTAGGTACGGAGTATTACTACCAACTGACAGATCCACGCCAAAAAAGCTGTAAAAAGAAAGGCAGCATGCTGCAGCAATACCCTGCCTGCTCCTGGACGCAAAGCCACGCTGGGAATAGCAATCTTCTGCTTTGCCCCCCTCCCCCAGCCAGCACTAAAGCATCAAGGGCGCTTACTAGTCGGTGATGCTCCTGTCAAATAACCGTCTTGACATCAAGCGTCACGGCCTCATTGGGCGCCGCGATCGCCCGTGTTTGGGACTTAGTGCATCCCAGACAGCGGCAGATCCATGAGGATCATCCTTTTCTGCCGCATCTGCCTGTAACGTGTATGCCCACCCAACCGTACGAGTAGACAGATGCCAAGGGCAAGACAGAGAGAGAGAGAGAGAAGAAGAAGATGAAAAATCAAGGAGGCTGGGGAAGAGGAGGAGGAGGGCTTGCTTGATTCTTGTCCACGGGGCGTCCCGTCCCCCGTCCACGTCTCTCTCCTCTCTCCTCTCTCTTATCAGGGCCTTGTGACACTCAGCAATGGGTAATACAAAGGTACATGATTTGACATCATCTTTCTTATTTTTCTTATTCTTTCTTTTTTTAACCTTTTTGACACATGCACGTGCAGACACCATGACGATGAGCCTTGTCCATGTTGCGGTGAATCAACTCAAGTTGGGACAAGATCCCCCCCTTCCCCTCCCCTCAAAATTCAGGTGAGGATATCATATATCAGCCATGAGACTGCGTAGAGAGTAGAACCTCAGGGACCAAATGACTCAGAGATGTCAAATCCATCCCATTCCCCATCTCTCTTGCTATTCTCACAAGTCCATCACAGCAACTCTCGCCTTGAATCAATATTTTGCAGTAGATACACGCCCCCCTTTACTCCGTAGTTGCCTAACGGATCGACCATTTAGCCATCACGAGATTCGCCCCCTAAAAGGGTTGCTCCAATGCAAAGAAATACTCGTACTACTCGTACATAGACAGGAACACTCCTCATGTCAGGCAGCGTTGAGGTAACTACGTAGTGAAGCTGATAATCATGGCAAAGGGTAGGACTTGGCGTGGGAATAGTAGGACAAAGTCACCAGATCTGTCAACGTCAGAACACCTTACCTCCAATATACACACATGTATGGAGTAGGCCTTCCCTAAACATACCATCACAAGGCTCGGATTCCCTTCCGGCGTTCCGATACTTCTTCTTGGTGCCAAGTATATGGTGATTCAAGTGCATTGCTACCTAGCTAACCTATTGACTGTCTCATATTCAGACACTAGACTCTCAAACTAACGCAGATAGCGTCTCATGACCATAATGAATACTTCCCTATGGTTTTATCTTAGACATAGCATACGCTCTCCACTCTTTGTCCTTGGCCATCAAAGATGCCTTCGCTTACTGTTCTTCCCCTTGAGCGGGTTCTTCTTCTCTCAAATCTGTGTTGAGGACCAGATCCTCCTTGCTTCTTCTGTGCACAATAATGGTCAACCCCTCGATTCCATAATCATCGTATTGATGCTGATGAGAAGCACCCCCCAATTCCCCACCAGCAATGCCTTGGCTCGCTTGGTGTTCCAGCGCAATATCTAGTTCGATTTTGAGCTTATCGAATGCATCACTAAGCCCCAAATACCGTGAGCGCCACTCGCAGACGTGGCGACTCAGGGAAATCTCGGACTCGCTGCTAGGGGTAACAGGAGGAATCGTCGGCTCTTTCATAACGTCTCCTGCCTGGTTTCTTTCTGCTGTAGACTGGTTGAGATCCCTTTGAGAGCCAGAGGCCAACAATGTATACTCCTTACTCGGGGAATTACTCATCAATGTCGGTGTGTCGTTGATCTTCCTTAGTTGTTGTTTCCATGTTGAAGGATCAGAAGACTCGATACTTCGTTGGGGACTCTTGCTTGCGCTGGTAGCTTTCCTCAACGAGTCTTGCGATCCGAGCCCCTTTTCTGATGTTTTTGGAGTCCAATCATTTGTCTTTCTAATAGGCGATCCCATGCCCCCATATGATAACCCTTGGCGTTGTTGCTCCCCAGTGTTTCCATCATCATATCTGACGTCTTGCTGAAGCTCCGGTACGTCATTGTATTCTCCAGCTGGCGAGATACGAATCGTCGGAGTTTTCCAAATAGCCTTATCCGGTGGTGATTTTTGATATCTTTCCAGATCTACCGACTCTATGCTTTCATGGGAAGCTCCTTCTGGGATAGGTTTTGGTGTGTTCCGGTTACCATGGGTCGCGTGAGGTAGAGTGGTACTTTGGGACGTTGCTGGATCTTCTGAACAAGTCCAAAAGGTATCTTGATCCAAAGTGTGCAGGCTGAGAAGCCCTTTCAGAGTCTGTACAGCCGTTTTAGGGGAATCTTTGGAGATCTTATATGTATCTTCTTCGGTGCTTTTATTCGTCTGGTCAATGACATGCCTTCTTGAGGGAGAATGTCGAGCAACGCAGCAGATGCTGTGTCTCGTAGGGTCGCTATTTACATGGCAAGTCGGGCAATCAGAACACTGCTCAGAAATGGCCATTTCGCTATAGGATTTCTCCAGGCGATGTCGGCGCTCATGTCGAAATTTTTGGCGTGCTTGTCTTTCCGCCTCAGCATGTCCTAGTTGGCTTTCTCTGGGATATCCCATGATAGAGTCACGGCTCTTCGAATGAGATAGACGATGACCTATGCCAGGATATTAGCTTATTTATGCCAAATTATAACTCTGCGTAACCTACCTTTCTCTGCGTCGAGTACAGGCTCAGATAGATTGGCAAGACTCCGGCTGTGAGCTATCCCTTGGTTCCATGTCCCTTGATTCAGATTCTGCTGGTCTTGCCCGTGCTCTCGGCTCCCTAGAAGATTTGTAGACAGACCACTCACCAATTCTGTCTTGCACTTGGAACAGAACTCATGTCCACATCTCGCACATCGCGCTCGGGTATGCAGATACCCACCACAGGAATGGCATACTTGGATAGTTTTCATTCCCAATGCCTGCTGTCGATCTTTCTCATCTGACAGCCAACCCTCTGGTCGTGAGACTCCATACATGTCAAACATTTCCAATACATCTTGCTGCTCCTTTCTAGAGCTTTCAGGGGCATTCTGTCTTGACCGAATACTCGAATATGATGCTTGCAGATTCGGGTGAGAACGTCTGGAAAGTTTGAAGCCTGGTCTCGTGTCATTGACTTCGTTGGCAGTCCGGTTTGACCTGTACAGACTTCGGAACCGGCTGGGATCTCGGGTTGGACTTTGCAATCCCAATGAATTGCTCGATCTCGAGGCTCTCAAGCTCGGCCTGACGTTAAACATGTGAGCACTTGTCGATGCAACCTCCCAAGCAACTCCATTGTCATCGTTGTGGTTGTCGTTGATCCTCAAGCCTGGGTACGAATGTCCCACTGGAGGTGAAGCAGACACTTCGACCCGCGTCCGCGGACAGGCTGGGCTGCAAAGATATGCACCATCGCGCGTGTTCGTTGTATATGGCAAATTTTGGACATCTAAGTTATCATTGCTCGATATGGTGTTGAGCTGCCGTATGCGAGACTCGACGAAGCCAGACGGCACCAGGTCGTCTGGAACGCCATCAAACGATATGGCATCTCTAAGAAGAGTGGCGGGGTCGCTAAACTCGGGATATGTCATGTTAGCTGATGGATAAGAAGTAAAGTATAGTCTAAATAAGACGATGCATCGGTATGATTATGACTATGAAGAAGCGTTGGGAGAGGGAGAAAGACAAGCAGTCAGATGGAAACACATGACCCCAAAAACAAAGAAGAAAGATACGCAGGAGCAAAGCAGAGGGAGTTGCCTCGTGTGTCCAAGGCAAGTAATCCGAAGAGGCAAGTGGGCTCCTACGGTGAGGAAGGAATGGGCAAGTGGTGATTTCGTTTCATTATTTTAGGAGCCGCTGCTACATAGATACAAAATGCATTTCCCAGGAATTGTAGAATGCAGCAGATGTCTACTTTTTCTTTCATGTGACAGTACCACAACTGATATCAATTGTTTGGACTCTGCGCTAAAGACAGGTAGAAAAGTTGTACAAGGGTTATATTTCTATAATCGTTTATTTGACAAGGGTGGCAAGGGTCTCGAGAATCTGGCAGCGGGATGTTAGTGTTTCTTCGTTGGCTCGCAGCATAAACTGCTTCACGCACCTCCAATTCGATCTTGGCCTCAGCGATGTCCTGCTCGCTGCCATTGCCGCTGGCAACCTTCTGAGCCTCGGCAATACCAGCGCGGACAGCCTCAGCGCTGAAGTCCTCCAGGGGGTAAGCCTCGGGGGCGTTGATGCTCAGGACAGAGTTGGGCTGGACAGTAGCAAAGCCACCAGACACTATACAGGCGTTTATCAGTCTTGTGTCGTCCATGGAGTCGCACACTCGGAGGGGTCATGACATACGGAAGAACTGCTTGGCGGGGCCGGACTCCTCAACAACCTCGACCAGGCCGGGCTTGAGCTGCTCAATGGAGGGAACGTGGTTGGCGAGGACACCCATCTCGCCGGACTCTGCGGGGATGTTGACCTGGACGACGTCCTGGGACTTGTAGATGGACTGCAAAGCATTGCGGCAATTAGCACCGAGAACATTCGTCGACTGTCGCATTTTCCTCCACACCAGCCCAATCGGATCGCATATTCGGTAAAAGTCGATTCTTCGAGGTGCAGAATTCATACCTGGTGAGGCAGAGCCAAGCTCAGCTTGATCTACAGAAATTTCAGTCAGCGATATATAAATTGCAAGCCTTTGAGGCTCATGATCCGGAGCATCCTCACCTTGTCGGGGACGGCCTCGGCATATCCTCTCCGCTGGATGGCCACTCGCATGGCTGTAGGGCGAGCTCGGAGAGCCGCACGGGCAACACGGAGGGAGTTCATGGTGACTGTGAGGACGATTGAGTCGTTGCTTGTGGTGAGCTCAATTGAAGTCGCTGGCACGAATCTTTGCCGGACTGCAGTCATTAATTCGGCTAGCGGGAAAATCGCCCGCCGCAGAGCACGTGTGTCGGCACGTGACAGTCAACTGACACGTTTGATGAGTCGGACTCTTTGAGTTTGATCGTCGTGGGAGTCGATGAATCGTTAAGATACGCTTCTAATGTTAGGTTTTTTTTTTTTTTTTAGTCAAAATATGGAATTACTGAGAATATTGCATGCTCGTGTCAGACTCGATTGGGTCTCATGCGTCAATCGTTGGGGAAGAGAATAGATTGCTCCTCGTACTGCTTACAGCTTACAGTCGAAGTTTGCAAGGGTTTGCGTTTAAGACTGCATATACTTTGGTGACTATGCATCATCACTTGCACCACACGAACGAGGTTTTGAAGGTACGAAAACACCTAGAGGCCCATGGAAACTAAACCAATGACCGTATTATCAGGTAAAGCTAATTGGCATTTCCCTCGATGAACTGACAAAATTTTGCCTTCGCACACAAAGAAACTCACCCCATAACCTACAACAGCAGCTTTGATAGACTCGAACCCATTTCAACAAACAGCTTCGGGGGATTGGGCTGGAGGCGACGTATCCTGTGGTTCTACTTGTCACCTGTTTCCTCGCTGTCTAACACATAATTTTCTAGGGGGTAATTGTCGTCAAGGTGTTACGGTAGCATCTGATGGCGAAGACTTACACCCAGCTGAATTAACAACTCCGAGGAAAGTATACGCAGCCATGGCACTGAAAACACACCATCTTCATGAAAGGGATGTGGAATGACGATAGTAATTCTGCCCACGGCTTAGCTTCATGCCATTTCTTTCAGTTATCAGCTCACTTCGTTCAACAAACGCCTCCCACAATCGATTGGTCCAGCCAAATCTATACCATGCCATTCAACACGCGGGAATGGCATTCAGTTGGGTGCCACAAGCAGCTGAAAAAGGCCTGGAATCTTGTGTGGCTTTAGCTGTGCCCAAGAGACAGAAGTAACGTGGTTCGCCATCAGGAATGGGGTGGAATGGCTTCTCGGGTGGCTTTACAGTTTTGACTTTGCCCGCCAAAACTCTCTCTCCCTCAACTCCGTTATCGCTATGCAGCATCTCCTGTTGTGCCACCCGTGATGTTCCACTGCTTTTGCGACAGCGCGGTATGTCAATTTGCGTGATTCACAAGTGCCAAGAGAAAGGGGTGTCCTCGTGTCAAGTTGCCATTGCTCAACACTCGAAGACAAGAGATCTAGACTATGGATATGTCTCAGAGAGACGGATGGAGAGTAGAGTTTGATATGGTTATAAGGTAACCAGCACGTGCGGCCGCTCCTCTGTTGTTCAATACGGGCCGCCAGCCGCCCCCTTTATTGATACGAGAGTTTTTACTGATCTTGGCAACGAGAACAAATATGATTTCGTGTGTTATCTTCCAACCCAATACATACGGGCTTACAGGTACGAGGTATGAGCCAAGCTGTGCGGGTATGTAAATGGAGACGAGCTGAGTACGAGCATGGGGTACAACAGCCTCACCTCCAGGATGGACCAAAAGGGAAAGAAAAAAAATCTTCAAGAAATCTCGCCGAAGAGGAAATGTCACCAACCCCAACACTTAGTGCGCCAATTTTTTTCCTTCTTTTCTTACGAACTTTTTTTTTTTCTTTACCCCATCTTCTTAGAGCCCGCTCAACCGCTGCAGACCGGTTGACCTTCGGTGGGTGGCCCCATCGGCGCGACTGTTTTACTAGCGAAAGCGCGAGGGAAAAAAAAAATTTAGATCAAAATTTTCCAACAAAAAGAAGCACAGTCTTACACGGTTGGACCAAACTAGCGGGTGGCTTGAGCTAAGGAAAGAAGCACGATGGCCAGCTACACTGTGTACTTCAGTTTTACTATGTCTGCCCCCTTGGGTAAAAGAAACAATAAAACACCCGACAACAGGCGAGGCCGCTAATTTTGCTTCGGCCGTCAAATCTCCAAGCTTGAGTGAGCTCTTGGTCGTGCAATTGTGCCGTATTTGGGGAGCTTTGGTCAATCTAGCTTCATCGAGAGTGGGCGTCTGGCTCAAACTGATTAATTTGCTCTTGGCTTGTCTCAGTCAAATTTGCAGTCCTGGCCAATCGCCAAAGAGCAATTGACAACATGGATTTTGCGTGTTTACACGTCTTGAGACGATGACTCTTGGAATCTGGTTCATGGCTCAGTCCAGGCCGTCCTATTTTAAGCTTATAGAATAAGCCAATTGACTGAGAATGCCATGTGTCTCTCTCTGCAAACATCAGGCTGCTAGTATCCTACCTTGTTTTCTCTTGGAGGGCGTGCGAGACAAGCTCTGTCTCATGAATACCTGAATTCAGCATTAAAGCTGTCTACCAGCAAGACATGTCCGTATTACTGCAAAGTGAGCATCCAAGTTACGTTACATAATCAGTGTAAACGAAAAAGCCCAGGCCAGGTTGTAGGAGCCAGAACGGAGCAGAGGTAATTAACCGTATCAAACTCGCATCGTTGCAGTGCATTAAGGGGACTTCCGTAAAGGGGACCAATTGTTCTTACGGAGCAACCGTTGTTCCCAAGAGTACGAACAAGCAGCGTGGGCGAGTAATTCTGGTACCACGGAATATGACGGAGCTCATATTCCGCAGCGCATCATTATGTACGGAGTCTCGTGGCCGAAAAGGGCTGTTGACGGTCAGTCCATACATGCGCGATGCCATTGGCTCAGCGGCCCTGACTCTCACCGCCAAACGGCAGGCCAAGACTGCGAGTACAGGCAGCAGGAAATGAGGCTCTGATGCCTGAGGCTAAAAGGCATCTCTCTTGAGGCCGACGTTAACCCGCCATCCACATCCCGTATGTCCGTGGCTTGTCTTGTTGAACGAATGAGGCGAGAAGCCCTTGCTCCAACCGCCCGTAGCTGAAAGGCTGTCGATTGGCCGTCTCTTTTTTGCGAAGGGTCCTTACCTGCGTCCAGATGCCAGTAGCATGTGCATGGCAATATATCGCGACGTCGTTGGATCAAGGTACGGCGACGCTTTGGGAAGGCCTCGCATGTAAGGTGTGTGCTAACTTGTGCAGCATGCACGGGCAATGCGGCCGAACTGCCAACAAGGTGGCATCATTTCCCACAGCCTCCCAGAACGACGGGCTGTGTTTGGCTCTCGATGGGCTGCGTGCCGCATTGCGCATTCTCACTCAGGATGCGCATCCCTTGGTCCAGTCCAGCTAGACAGACCCTTTAATTCGTGGCCGTATCGAGCAAGCAGAAAAGCACGTCGAAACGATGCGGGGTTTGTGTGTTGCAGCCCATCCTATCCATTGAACCGTCCGTGGGGTTTTCGAACCACATTAGCGCACTGGGTCGACTCGTCGTTTTGAGAGAAATTGAAGATTATGAGGGGTGAACCGCGCAAAGCGACGTGGTATCATGGAGCTCTTGGTCGTGTCGGGCTCGACACCTATTCTGGCGTAGAGCTGGCTCCCAATGGCTGCTGACCCGATGACCGCTGACGAAGATGCGAGCCCTTCTCTCCCACCCCCGCGCTGTCTCTCTGCGGTTCGCATTGGATATCTTGTGGCAACAGTTGGGCTCGCATGCTTTGGGTTTGTCACTCCGATGTCTGCTGCTTTCTTTGTAAGTTGTTGTATGTATGACGAACTTGTCCACTTTCGGAACCACACAACGGCTTCTATTCAAGCCCTCCTGCCGATCTGAATGTGTTAAGGGCGGATGTGGCGGCGGATTGCAGCTCTCGGAAGGGATCAGCTGCATGCGCCGGCTCCGACGGTAGTTTGTGTTCTGTCCTGTTTATTTCCTTTTTTCGTCATGTCGACATGTTCTGGAGGCGCCGAGCGGAATCGAATCTACTGCACGGAGTACTCGTACCGACTGCGCCCTGGATGGCATCCATGTCTCTCCCTGTGTCCGGCATACATACTTTGTGCATGCAATGCCCAACTTGCAGCTCTGGCTGAGAGATTACTGCATGCAGCCGAGTGATGAGGTTTGGCTGCGCTGCTCGGCATGGGGCCCGGAGCATGATACGCGAAGGCAACGTGGTTCCATTTGCTGTGTCACTTGCGATTTGCATGCGGCCAACTGTCTGCAACATGGATGGCCATTGATAAGGGGGGGTCGCATTCCAGTAACCTGATCGACCGCTTCTAGAGTCATGGCGGCCGTTGCCTCTTTTCAAATACTACATACGGAGTACTCGAATTCTTTCTTTTGCCATTGTTTGACAGACGCTAGGCGTCATGGCGCAGCTTGCTGTGATCGCCTTGTGCGAGGTCCAGCTTGCGCTACATGTCAAATAACGACCGCGCCACGCGATGACAAGCCGTTGGCGAATCCCAAGCGTCCCCTTTACTTGTATGTTTGGGGTAAGGAGCAGCTCGTGCATGCAATATCGACATAGGGCCTCATGCACGTCGGCTTATTACAGCACTAACCCAGCCGAGCCAGCCTGTCTTCCTACCTTTGTTTGTGCAAGCGGGATTTCCGGGGGGGGGGGGAACGAAACAGAGAGTTTTGGGTGGAGCGAGGAAATGCGTGTAAAGGGGTGACTCGCTCAGCAGCCTCGGCTCCGTGGAGAACGGAATCAACGGAGTACGGAGCTTGATTTTTGATCAATCCGGCTGGAGGACGGAGCATCGGTCTTCCCACGCCCAAAAGGCTGGATCTGTTAAGATGCCGGGCAAACACCGGCAAGGCCGAGCCATTGCGAGATGGCGATGAAATCTGCGGCTCCAACGGCTAAGAGGGAACTAACAAAGAGAAAAAACGAAAGAAAAAAAACAGACCCATCAATTTCTTCTCTGTTACAGTACAGCTCTTACAGGATGGTGCGGAATTGGAGCTAGTGAATCGCGTCTACAGAGGTCTGGACTCGACTGTGTGCCACTCTGTGTGGGAGACCAAGAAGACCTCACAGCAGCTTTTGCGCACTGGAGCTTGCCACATCCCTCCGAATGCGGCCGTTGGATAGTGGCGTTTTCGCGCTTTCGCTTCAACGGCACGATGCGATCAAGACGGACTGTGGAGGGACCTCGGAAATGGCGCTATGTGAGATACGGGCCGCCCAGGCACCGAGTACTGAGACAGTGCGATTTGAAGACGAGAAGGACACAGGAAGGCGAAATATTACTGGTGTTGCGGAGAACGCGCCTGTGCCGAGCAAATCGAAGCTACCGTGGGAGCTGCAGGCTGGCACGGCTTTCACTCGGTTGTGGCCCGAGGCGAGGGTCCCTCACAGTACTCGTACATACGCCTTACAGTGAAGCGAGATGCATTCATGCTCACACATGCATCTCCTGATTAATGTGCTGCCGTTGGTAGCAGCCGAAACGAAATGCTGGGCTTGATTGGTTTTTTCTGCCAGCACCTATCAAGATACCAAAGCCTGCCACCCATTGGTCAATTCAGTCAGCAATGCGACTTGAACCTCTGATCACGCAGTTGCATTACCTACAAAGTATGCATCATGACCTAGACCATTGCTACCAAGGCTCCCGGATCTGGTTATATGATGGCGCAGAGCTGTTATTCTAGGCGCGGAAGTGAGCCTCGCCTGCTGACGGCTCCCCTGAGGGCAATGAGCATCATCCTTGTTGCTCAATCATTCTCACGCTTCTGTTGTTCCATCAGCGTTCGAAATGCTAAAACGGGCTGATCTTACAGTACCAGCACGGCCAATTTTGCACCGGGCGGTGAGTTGGACCCAAGGCCTTCCTCTGCCTTGTGAGCGGAGCCAGCTCTCTCGCTTGGAGTGATCCTCTGTGATGGGATGGCGCACAGCAGCACAGCTTTGCTCCGGGCATGAGAACAAGCACCCCCAGCTCACGCGCCAAATGACCCTGGGAGCGGCGCGCTAAGGGTTCATGTTGGCGCTTTTTTACTATGAGGCAATATCTTGCCAGAAAACAAGGCCCTTGCCTGCCCTCGGCCTAAGAATAGGACGGGATTGGGATAGGATGGAATTGGGGAGCCTAGTGGGTTCGTCTCCCGTCATCATGATGCACTAAACAGCTGCATAAAAACAATCTTACGGCTTGCTACGAGTGCAAGTAATGCATCCAATGCCATTCGTTGCTTGGCGCCGGGTGACTCGACTTCTGGGTGCTTGCTGAGCCTCACATGATGGCAAGTTTGAGGCTGTTTCCAAATTCCGGCGCCTGAGGCTCCCTTTTTCTTTGTTTCTATTCCTGTGCTACCCATGTAATCAGACATTTAGATTTGCCAAGGAGGATCTGTTTAGCGGTAAGATTTGACGGCTGGGTCAATCCTCGCTTGCCGCTCTTGGTACGGATATACCAGCAAGATGGCGAACATCCCTTACTCGTGCTTTGATGTACGCACATGAGGGAGTGCTCACGAGAGTCAGGTACTACCTGTACTACTCCGTTCGAGTACATGGCCTCAGGTACCCGAATTGGAATTGGGGATGGGGAGCATCTGCTGCAAGTTCGCATTTTGCGGTACAGCACAGTACGCACGCACGGCATGGTCTCGTATCCTCGTATCCATTTTGTCTAGGACATTTCTGCTGGGACGAGAGAGAAACATGTCTTGTACGATATATGCTTAACACGAATAGCGCAGAGCCAGGGCGGCTGGACAGTTAAGCGACAATCTGTGAGACATTTGGACGTCCAGCCCCAAGGACGAGGCAAGCGGAAATTTGCAAGGTACGGAGCAAATATCACAGGCTGCATGTACGGGAACATGTACCGCCGGTGGTCGGGAGCCGCTACGGAGCAAATATGGACAAGAAAGACGGAGTAGCGTGATTGCAACATCGATACACATGGTGCTAGTCATGCGAAGCTGAGATCTCCATGGGAAAGCTGCCTGCTCCTTTTGCTCTCGCGCAGCCTGTGCGCGCACCCCTGACAAGGGCATCGACGCTTTCACACTGGCAGCTGTGTGCTGAAATGCAGATGCGAGCGGGGAAGCGAGCGGCACATGGAGAGGAAACGCTCGCCTCCCCTTGTTGTTTGTTTCGCCTGTCTGAACAACCAAAGGTGATTTGATGCTGTAAGTGGTAGCATTGATTGAGGATGGATGGTACCGTGCAGGTACAGTGTTAATATTAGCAATCGCCTGTCTTTCCCCTTTGGCCCCTCCCTCCATCTCCGTCTATTCGACTGATTGACTGCTGAATTGATTGATCAACTGGCGGGTTTGCCTCTTTCTCCATGGAAGATGGATGGGATGCGAGCTTCTGGTGGATGGCAAGCAATCATCAGCTCACCCTCCCTTCGGCTGCCCTATTGCAGCTCTCGATGCGCCATGCGTTCGCCCAGGCAAAATCGAGCCCGTTTGGCCGCACCATGACGACAGCGGGCTTCTTTGTGGCTAGCGGCTGGGGTTAAGTTGGCTGGCTTCGGCCGGCCGATCGCTGCTCGCCAATTTTCTGCGTCCAGCGCGGGCTTGAGAAATTTCATGACTGCTCCAGTGCTGTGACCCGCACGGCGTTGGCAGCACAGCTGTATGGCTGGCGCGCAGGCCCTGTAACGGTGCTGCCAGTCCGCTACAGTACAATCCAGTACAGGCACTAACAGCGCTGGCCATTCGCCGGCTGGAGCCCTGCAGCCAGCGAATCGAGGCGGCGCTCAGCCACGCCATGCCGAAAGAGAGCGAGTGGAAGGGCCAGAAAAAAAAAAAAGAGCGCCTGGAGCAGAGAGAGAGAACACACTGGCCGCTGCGAAAATCAAACCGGCCCAGCGCCAAGGAAAACCACTCACTCAGTGGCTCCTCTTCCTGGGCAATTTGCGAACCCCCCTAAAGTCTTGCGTGCACCCCCTTCTGCCCCCACACGGTTCTGTAACTTGTCAACTGTGTTGCTGCTCAGGTGCTTTTTGTGCTTGTGCTTGTGCTTGTGACGGTGCATCCCACCGTGCTCGTGCCCGTCCCAGCTTGCGGCGCCCGCACACTGTGCACACTGTGCCCCCCAAGGCGCCATTGCTCATCTGCAGTCCGAAATGATGCGCTCCTGAGCGGCACGAGACGCTAAAACCGGATGGTCAGGCACGTGCAGTGATCAGCCTCGCACTGTACGGGCTTCCATTATTCTGGGGCTTTCTCTCCATCCCCCAAGACCCCGTTTTTTGCATTTTGTACTCCGTACGAGAATGAAGGGTGGATGGATGCTTTTGTGCTAGTCTGCAGTGGCGGCAGATCAGCTATTATCCCTCACCAGTTTTCAGGTTCTCCAGTCGTTCTGCCGTCGGCCTGTTTTTTTTCTTCCCTCTTCTGCTCTTCCACTGTGTTGCGTGGCGGCGTCTGGTCTTTTCTCGCTGTTCTCCTCAACTCTCTCGGCGTCGTTGAGACACAAAGGATTGCGCCAAGCACGCGGATTCGAGCACGGGCAGCTGTCTCAGACGTCTGTCTCGCCTTGTCTTGTCCGAATCCAAAATCCAAAATCCAAATCCAAATCAATCCATCTCCCAGACATCGCAGATCCCTGCATCGGCGTCTACGTCCACGCCTCGTCACACCCCTACCGACCTCCCGGCTTCTGTCGTGTCAGGTCCGCCACGCCACATCTGGACGGACGTCATCCGGAATCTGCCAAGAAGGGCTCCTCTATTGCTATAACCGCACACCCGTTACTGCAAGACCCTTTTTTGTCGTTGCTTTGCGTTGATTCGACTGCGAGTCTGCCCCCCCCGGATCACCACACTGCGCTGCTTAAAGTGGACTGGCCTTCCGCCCGCCTCAAACACACTTATACCACACGCGCGGGCCCCAAAAAGGCTTCTTAGTCCTTTTCACATCCACTACCTTTGCTTCCGACTCTTTGGTATTGATCATGTTGGTTTTGATGTTATAGCATCGTCGTCCTCAGGGACACATTTTTGTTACGAGACATTGTTCTCGCCCCGGCTGCAAGCCTCGTGTCGGCTTACACGCTTCGCCCTACTACGACACAATCCTCTAACCCCTCTCGAGTTGAACCACCCTCAAAACTCTCTTGTCGATTACTTCCTTGTCCTGCTTTAAAGCAGTATCGGAACGTTGAAACGACCTCTTTGTTGCTATCCCTGGACCTCACTTTTTTCTCGACCCGGACACTAAATCAACCGCCTGCTTGAAATTCACTCACCACAACCGCCACCTCAGAAGTCCTAATGCCTACCATATCGATCATGGCAACTCTTCCTTCAACGTCACAAGCCCCCGAGTGGGCGATACAAGGTTCAGATCTTGTCGAGGACCTTGACGAACCCCCAGAACTCAGGCTGTACATGCCCACGCCCAAGCCTCTGCCTTTCCAGCGAGCGCCGGTCCGCCCACAACAGGTCGCATCCTCGCTACTCACCCAGGCCATCTTGGGCCAGTCTGATGAGGAGGACGGCCACATCTTTCACCCTTCCAAGACCTACAGCCAGCGCCGCCGTTCCATGGTCAGCAATGCTAGTATTGCTTCTACCGCTGATTTGACCAGCGATACTGGTCTCACCAGCCCTTCCCGAACCAATACTCCCAGCCCACCTCTTCCGGACCTCTCATCGCTTCGTCTTCGCCATGGCGCTACTGGCTTCCTAGCCAGCTTCTTCGGTGCCAAGAAAGTAGAGGAGCCCGTCCAAGAAGCTCCTCGTGCCCCAGAAGCTCCTCGAAGGCGATGCATTCAGTTTGCCTGTGCTGCCAAGCCCCAGGCTCAGCCACAAGCCGTTCCTGTTGCCGCTCCGCCAGCTGCCTCTCCCCCTACGCTCAAGACCCCACTGGCACAGGAACAGCCAAAGCGCTGCATCAAGTTTGCCTGCACAGCTCGTCCGTCTTCTGCACAGAAGACCTCCCCCAAGCCCTACGAGCCCTCCACTCCTAAGCGGAGTATGACTCTTCCCGTCCCCATCTCTCCCCGAATCGTCCCTGCTCAGCAGGAGTCTGCCAAGGCCTCGCTTGTTCGACCTCGATTCCTTCGTGCTTCATCAACGGAGCTCATCAGGGACGCATCTCAGTTCCACGAGTTCGCCAGTGGCATGGCTCGCGAGGATGACTGGATCCGACAAGAGGACTCCACTCAGACCAAGCTTACTATTTCGGATACCCTGGTCAAGGAGAACCTGTTTCGCCGTCTAGGAGCTGAAGCTGAAGAGGAGGCTGAGCAGGAGGAACGAGAGGAAGATGAGGCCGAGACTGCTATGGATGATGAAGATGAAGATGATGACGAAGACGAGGATGATGAAGATGATGAGCTTGATGTCTTGGATATGGAAGATGAGGATGAGGACGAAGGAGATGACGAGGATGATGATGAACTGGACGACGGCTCCGACGGTTACCACACTGACGAGGAAACCGGCTTCGCTGATTCCGATGAGGAAGATGACGAGGACGAAAACATGGTCTTGTGGACGCCGGGCCGTGCCCCATCTGTCCCACGCCAGGTCACTCCCCGCTTGGCTCGTCGACTCTCGTTGACTGAGCAATCGGATTCTTCCATTGGCACCAGACGCAGCCCTCGTCGATCCATCAAGGCTCGCCCCATCGGACCTCAAGTCGAGGCTCCGGACTTGCCAGACAGCACCGACTTCGTGTGCGGCACTCTGGACGAGGATCGACCCGTCGAAGACGCCTACCTCTCATGCCTCGCTGCTCGTAGAAACGAGAAGCTGCGCATCATCCCTCAAGACATTGACCCTAGCTTCCCGGCTTCGGACCTTGACGAGGAGGACGATGAGGATGTCTATGTGGCTGCTGCTGACAGCGACGAGCATCCTTGGATCCACGGCGCCATGGAGGATCTCGATATGGAGACAGACCGTGCTCGCAGGAGGCGAAAGAACGCCAACCCGTCTCCCCGACGATTCCGTTCTCCCCCTCCTAAGCGACGCGGCTCTCCCGCCCCCAAGCCTCGCGCTCGATCCCCCAAGCCTCTTTTTGACCGCCAGTCGCCTCGTCGAGCCCGTTCGCCGGCTCCCAAGGCTGTGGCCATTGCCACTCCCATCCAGACTCCCCGACAGGGTGCGCACACCAAGTTTCAACTGGCTGGCCGCCCCGGTCTTACCCAGACCAAGTCCCTGCCTAGACCTGCAGCCATCTTCCGCCATCAGAAGCAGCCCAAGGGCTCAAAAACCTCCTCTGACACTGATGCACACATTCGCAGTGCCATTGACATCGTCAAGGGCCTTGAGAAGAAGCGCTTGCGCCGCAAGGAAAAGTTCTTCCAGAAGTACTGCGATCGCGCCCGACGTGGGCAGATCCCTGAGCGCAAGCCGCTTCCTGGCCTCGGCGCCGAACGCATGCGAGAACTTGGGTTGCTCATGGCGGGTAAGAAGGACCCGGGCAACTACGTTCTCTCGTGCTAGAGGAGAAAAAGTTTTTACTTTCTGATGAGACGCATCGGAGAAGAGTTGAGCATTCAATAGGCAATGGGTTCCACAGTCCCCTCCTATTAGACCAGTGTCCAATCTTCTTTCTTTTGTCACCTTTTTCTTTTTCACGATTTTTACGACTTTTCTATTTTATATAATTACATGACTTTTCTCGGAGACTTGCCTCTTTTGACGGGCGGCTCCTGTACATAACGATATTTATACTTGATCATCTTGTCATTTCCCTATATCAGCGGAAAGCAAGCAAACTGAAGACAGTACAACAATGGACACAGGGCGGGAAGGCTTTTTTGTCTGCTTTTTGGATACAACCATGAGACGCATTGGGATGCGGGTTCTCAGCTGGCGTTGGAGGCAGACACTTGAATGCTGCCGGCATTATTACTAGATACCTTAGTAATACTGAATCTGAAAAGATTATAACTCTTAAACTATTTTCGTTCCGGTGACAATGTTGTGACTCTTTGCTCGGTGAGTGATAAAAGGGATGTCCTCGAGCCACGTAATCCGTAGAGGTGAACCCAGTTTGGATCGATCGACGCCACGTATGTTGAATCTATTGAAACGGCTGAATTATATTGAGCAAGGGACTATGAAAGAACACATCATCATGAAATTTAACCTTGATCTATGAATTCTAGAAAATTATATATTTTGTAAGATATCTAGTGTGATGGAGATAGTATTCCCAGCCGGTTTGCCAACGAAATATACTTTTCGCCCGCGCAGAATTGCCACCATCTCGAAAGTCACAGAGTTTGGTGCCTGAGCAACAAGGCACGTCACGTGTTCCCGTCCCTTGCCTTCCATACAGGCGGTAAAACACATGATTGTCCTTTCCGATCCCATTCTAGCCTGCATCGACATCATCACACTTCAACTTCTTTTGCTTGTTCTTTTTTTGTCCTCTTCTTCCCCCTTCCACCCATCGAGGCTCTGAGATACCAAACAAGTACAAACATACTTTTGGCTTCGCACTCAATCGCCCACCATGTGGATCGTTAACTGGTGTATGTATTCCATCCTTGGCCTTTGATCGCGCCGCTTTTTGCTATGCACTGTCTTGCATAAGGCGACGACGACAGTGCAGAGGCTGACGTTTTTTTCTTGCTCTCTCGCTCTAGTCTACGACGTTTTGTCCTCTTTGGGCTTGCTCAACAAACATGCTAAGCTGCTGTTCCTGGGTCTCGATAATGCCGGAAAGACCACGTTGCTTCACATGCTCAAGGTATGTCGCCGATAAGAGAGACCGGGGGGCGGAAGAGGCCATGGCGCAACACGCACACGTGCTCCTGCGGCGGATGGGCTGTTGCGCACCTGGCCGATTCCGACGATATAGAATACGGACCGAGCTGCGAGGGATACGATATTCTAACGTGATGTCGGGGTTTCTTATAGAACGACCGAGTTGCTATCCTGCAACCTACTCTCCACCCTAGTAAGTTTTCCGCTCCCGCCGCGGGGTTTGCATGCATGATGGCCTGGATCGTCCTGACACACCTGTAGCTTCTGAGGAACTCGCCATTGGCAACGTTCGATTCAACACTTTCGATTTGGGCGGTCACCAGCAAGGTATGTCTATTATTTGACTTTTGATTGTTTAGTTTTGTCTCCCTTGAAATCTCAGCCCCACCATTGGGAGCCTCCCCCGATCTCACGTGTATGCTTACCATACTGCCTACCTACTAGCCCGTCGTATCTGGAGAGATTACTTCCCCGATGTCAACGGTGTCGTCTTCCTTGTCGACGCCAAGGACCACGAGCGATTCCCCGAGGCCAAGGCCGAGCTCGACGCCCTTTTGGCTATGGAGGAGCTTTCCAAGGTTCCCTTTGTGATCCTGGGCAACAAGATCGACCACCCCGATGCCGTTTCCGAGGACGAGCTGAGACACCAACTGGGCCTGTACCAGACGACTGGAAAGGGCCGGATGCAGCTGGAGGGTATCCGACCTATCGAGCTCTTCATGTGCTCTGTGGTTATGCGACAGGGTTACGGCGATGGTATCAGGTGGCTGTCCCAATACGTTTAAAAAGAGATGGAGGGTATTTGTGATGGGAACGAGAGGAAGTGGGCCACCGGACTCATGAGTCGTGGCTCAGTGACGATTCGATTTGAGAAACCGAGGAGGTCAAGAGGCGTTGGGTCATGAGTTATTTTATGAGACTCAGCATTCTCTTTTTAGGCGAAACCATTTTTTATTAATTGTGAAATTTATACAGTACCCCGTTGCTTGATTTTACGTGGAGACTTTTCCTCTTCCTGGTGCATTTAATGGCTTGTGAAGCCAATGGATAATGGAGTTAAGACGTTGCACCATAGAGGGGATTAATGAACCACGTTTTTTTCTTCTGGGTAGAATTAAGCTATGTTACGATGGATATTGGCATTTTAGATTCCAGTGGCCAATGACACGGGTGAATACAGATGATATGCTCAAGTGTAGACAACAAATACCGCTGTTTAGATACCCAGCTCTTGAAGTATCTACCATTATCACTACTTCTAGGTAGTCTCTGCTGTTATTGATACTTTATTCTAGTGTCTGCTACTATTGTTATTGGATATTTTTAGTATCTGCTGCTATGGCTGTATTCCTTTATGTAGTTTCAAGCCCCCAATATAGCAAACCAAATATCAATGTCCAAAAAGACTCGGAGAAAGCCAATCAAATAGAATAAATAAAACAAAGCGTTGTATACCTCCAAGAAAAGAAGAAAACCAAAACTAATATCATTCATGTGTATCATACAACGTTACGTTGTGGTCATCGACGGAAAAAATAATAACAAAAACAAAAATAGCGGTGCAATATTACAAATCCAATTAACTTCTTTTCTTTCTTTCCTTGTTTCCTTCCTTTCACCTTCTCTTTCTCTCTCACTCTTCTCTTCGACTAGCGCGCAGGGGGGTATATAGTATGTAAATGATGATGATGTTGCTGTGTATATGTATAAATGTATGGCGATTTGGATGAGCTGTGTGATGTGCGGACAGCTGTAAATAAAAGACGTAGTCGATGATTATGCAAAAATAGAAAGGTCTCAAAAAAGTGCAAATGCTATGCTATGCTTGCTTGCTATGCGTCTTCTTCCTCTTCCTCCTCCTCTTCCTCGTGGTGCTCTTCCTCGTCTTCTTCATGTGTGGGGGTATCAAATGTTTTCAGCCAGTCATTCGCGTACTGAAGGTGTTCTCTCATGCTTGATATCATGTGATATAGTTCGTTCTTCAAATCTTCTTGTGATCCCAAGCCTTGAAGAACATTTGGCGAGGGGGCATTGGGAAGGGGCGGAAGGGAAAGCATCATGGAGTTCCGAGCACTCGTCATGATTCCCAGACCAGATGATTCCCATGCCATATTTGGCCTTTCGTCGGGAGTCGTAGGCGTGCTCTGCAGGTCGCTCAATTGCCGTGTGAGGGAAGGGACAGACTCCATGTCATCGTCTATGTATAAAGAGGGCTCTCTTGTGTTCGTTTCTGCCTCGGCTTCAAGTTCCAAGTCAAATGATAGTGATCCGTGAACCGAGTCGGACGATCGTATATGCGAGCTAGGCACAAACGAACCAGGGGCACTGTACCCTCCATCATCTGCCAAGGAGGCATCGAGATCAATAAGACTCATGGCCGAGTCCCGATTCGTCGCGGCACCCATGTCGTCAAATGAAGGCGGCTGAGATACGTGTGCGTCACCAACGTAATCCTCATTATCGCTATAGTTGTCTGGGTTGGGCGTAAAGGTGGCCGATGTGGGCGTCATGGCGGGAAAAGTCCACTCCTGGGTATCGCGTTTGGCCGTGGGAAACGTCCACTCCTGCGTACTTCGCTTGTCCTCTGAAGGAAAGCTCCATTCCTGTGTCTTTCGTTTCTCTGAGGTTGGAAATTTCCATTCTTGGGTCTCGCGCTTGTTGGAAGGAAACGACCACTCCTGCGTGTCCCGCTTGTCTGAAGTAGGAAATGACCATTCCTGAGTGGCGCGTTTGGCTGGAAAGTCCCAATCTTGAGTCTTGCGCCGCTCGTCAACAGATCCGCTCAAGTCAATCGAGATGGGCCGTGTGGCTGGCTTGATTGTCTCCTCATCGAGGTTAATTGTCCCCGGGGTGTCGTCAAACGCCATGTCAAGATCGATCAACGATTCGCGAGCTGGCGCTGCTGGTTCTGATTTGGGCTCTGGCTTTGGCTTCTTCTGAGAGGATGGCGGTGGAGCTGAAGTTGGAGGCGGCATCGGTATTCTGCCATACCAGGCTCGCGAGTTGTCGCCATAGTTGGTGATTGTATACGGATCAAAGACCTTTTCCAGTGGCGCCTTGAGTTCCTTCATGGTTGGAGGTGGACGCCTGCGACGGCGTTGCATTGGCCGTGCCGTGTTCTCGGGGCTCGAGGCAACGCTGGGGTAGTACTCGGGAGCGGCACGCGGCTTGGCCGTGTTTTGGAACATGAGCTCGTCCACCTCGTCGAAATTCCCAAAGTCCCAGCCGCTCTGGCGGACTGGAGATCGGTCCCTGCGCGGTCCCTGCGCACCACCAGCCGAGAAGAGAGACTGCCTGCTGCCACCCTGAGACTCCCAGTGCTTATAATCGGCCACCAGCTTGGAAAGAGAGACGGTTGGATATCTGTCCTGCGTGTTGAAGATGTAGGGGTGCCGTTGGATTTCCTCTATGGGCGGCCGTCGCTTGGGGTCCTCAACCAGACAGAAGGCGATGAGGTTCTTGAGGTTATCGGAGAACTTGTTGCCCTGCAGACGCGGCTGGTGCTGCTTAAGGTAGGCACCAAACTGCTGGATGTTGATTCTGGCGGTTGCGTTTGGCGGCAGGCCGTTGGCGATCTCGTAGGCCATGGACCCAAATGCCCAGATGTCGACCTCGATGCCGTAGGCGACATGGGGGTCGAAGAGCTCCGGGGCCATCCAGTGCAGGGTGCCGGTGATTGTGCTGCGCTTGTCGAACTTGGTCTCCATGATGCCGGCGACACCAAAGTCGCACAGCTGCACGTTGCCCGCATCGGTGACGAGCACGTTGGCGCACTTGATGTCGCGATGGATAATGCCCTGCTTGTGCACCCAGAACAGCGCCTCAGCCACTTCACGAAGAATCGGGATGATCCAGCGCTCTGCCAGGCCGCTCGTGGGCCGCATCAGGGACGCGACGCTGCCACCAGCGCAGTACTCGGTCACCATCCACACTGCCTGGCCCACCAGCTGGGTGTCGACGACGGCGTTGACGTTGCGGGCGCCGCTGTTGCTCAGCAGCTTGAGCGTGTTGACCTCCTTGATGATGTCGCCAAACGTATCGGCCGCGCCCGGCTGGATGCCGTCGCCCTCCTCGATGCTGATGACCTTGACGGCCACCAGCTGGCTCGTCTTGGTGCCCACGGCCTTGTACACGCGCCCGAAGCTGCCCTTGCCGATGAGCTCCAGCAGCTTGTAGGGCGGCACCTCCCGGCCGGCCTCGGCGCACTCGCGCACCACGATGGCTTGGGCGGCACGAGCATCTTCAATGGCCTTGTGCTTGGTGGCCGAGTAGTTTGGCGCTGACGAGAAGCCGTTGCCGTTGGGGAGGCTGCCGGCATGGGGGTACTGCATGATACCGGCGCTGAGGTGATCGATACCTATCGTCGCTTCGTCCGTGTCGTTATAGGGGTTCTAGTGTCTCGGTCCCCTAGAGCCTAGCCGGGCTCAGCGTGCCACCGGCGCTGTAGCGTAGCAGCTGTAGCGGCCACAGTGGCCGAGTCACAGCTTGCGAGTTGAGCTAGACTGCTGCGCCGAGCGGTTGGATCAGCGAGTCTAAAAGGGCCAGTCCAAGTCCAGTCCAGTCCAGTCACGCGGGGACCAGCACCTGTAAGCTGCTTCCACTGGCCTCCCTCTCTCTCAGCGGGAGACTGGCGGTGGGCTATCAGACGCAGAGGGTATGAGGGTGACGGATCTCGGAGAGGCGTGGAGGGGAGTCTAGAGACGGTTCCCAGACCATGAAGAAGGAACCAAAAAAACACGCTTGAAGGAGATGAAATGGAAAAAGCAGCAAGGAAAAAAAAAAGTAAAGTAAAGTACAGGTCGGTACTACTGCTCGGTAGAGAGAAGCAGAAACGCACTTTCCCCCCTGGCTTATGCTACTTGACATAATGCCATCAAATCAATCAGCATGTTGCAGCCCCTGGAAGGCAAAAAAGCGACCGCCTGAGGGAGCCTAAAGCGACATAGCGCTACTTTGAACCTGGACCCTGAAGGCTTTCACAAGGCGCTAAGTCTCAGGCGTGGAGCCCCGTCTGGATGGAAGCCCGCTAATCTATTTTTCTTTTCGGGCTTCTTTTCTTCCCTTCAGCCTTGTCCAGGGGTCTCGTGCGCCTTCAGCCGGGTGCGACGTCAGCGTTTCTTTCGAGACATCCATGGTCCCAAGCTTGCATGTGCACATGCGGTGATCAACCCTCCGTCGAGCAAATCCCGTGAGCAGCTTGGCCTCGCCCCGTGCTGGCCTTTGACCCTTTCGCCTGACGTGTCGCTGCGCTGCGCTTCGAAACGTTTCTGCTTCTCTTGTACGTTTCGCCCGCTATTCTTCGCTTTCCGCTGCCTGGTTTTTGCTCACACATACATATATATAGGTACATATATATAAGCCGGTCTACCTATATAATCGCCATGATCAAGACTTCAGTCGCCATCGCTGCCCTCAGCGCTGGAGGAGGCGCTGCTCTTACTGCCGCTCTCTATTCTCTCCGCCCCAGCAAAGACAAGACCGCAGAGATGCCACCCACACTCGCTTCTTCTTCTTCTTCACTGTCCTCTACAGCCATCGCTTCTTCCTCGACCGCCGTCGCTACAATCCCAGCCAACCAAATCTTTGGATCCGCAGCAGCTCCCTCGCCGCCCCTGGGCTCTGCGCCCGTCAACCCAGGCGGCCTGTTCGAATATGGCTTCCCCGGCCCCGTCTCCGACATCGCCAGCCGCGCCGCCCTCATCTCGAGCTACGACCGGCGCATGCGCAACCCCCACTGGGTCGTCGAGCACATCACCCCCGAGTCCCTGGCCAAGCGGGACGGCGACCGCAAGAACAGCCAGTTCCTCGAGGACACGGGCGTGCCCGCAAAGTTCCGCGCCCTGCTCAAGGACTACTACCGCAGCGGCTACGACAGGGGCCACCAGGTCCCCGCCGCGGACGCAAAGTGGTCGCAGGCTGCCATGGACGAGACGTTTTACCTGACCAACATGAGCCCCCAGGTCGGCGAGGGCTTCAACCGCGACTACTGGGCGCACTTTGAGGACTTCTGCCGCCGCCTGACGCAGAGATACCCCTCCGTGCGCATCGTCACGGGGCCCCTGTATCTTCCCAAGAAGGACCCCATCGACAACAAGTGGTACGTCAAGTACGAGATGATCGGCTCTCCGCCCTCCGTCGCCGTGCCCACGCACTTCTACAAGGTCATCTTCGCCGAGGACGGCCGCGCCGGCGGCAACGTCGCCATCGGCGCCTTTGTCCTGCCCAACGCCCCCATCGACAACGCCAAGCCCATCACAGATTTCGAGGTCCCTGTCGAGGCCGTTGAGCGCGCCAGTGGCCTCGAGTTCGCCAACCAGCTGCCCATGCAGCGGAGGAGGAGGCTCTGCGCCGATACGACCTGCTCCTTGATCATCAAGGACTACAGCGAGAGGCAAAAGTCCTTTGGCAAGAACCGATCGTCTTCTGCGTGAGGCTGTTGACGTTTTGTGAGGGGAGACGAGAGAGCCTGGCTACATCTTGATGGAATTGGTCGTTCTTGTGTATCCGAAAGCTGAGATTGATTGCACACTTTTATCATCACCAACCATACACCGACTTCTCCTTTGTTACCGCTACGCCACGACATGTACGGATATAGATCTGACGTTTTGCTTTTTTCCACCGGCATCTACAACGCCATAAGAGAGCGACATGTTTGAATATCCCTTTGCCTTTTTAATAGACACAGGCAACTAGCAGCATCGCACAGCACAGCATCACATGTACTTTTATATACTATTAGCCCCCATCAGATAGAAATCAGATTTGAAATGTCCCCTTGATTAGCCGCTATAATCCTGTAAACCTTACTCTGTGATATGAAAGCTGTAAAAGAAAAAAAAGCAGTTGTGCCTTTGAAGCATAAATTGAACGGCAATCTCCTTAAATTAAAAAGGCCATGATAAGAGGCCGCTTTCACACTTCCGTCCCTATGCCGCCAAACGCCAATAAAGGGGTATCGACTGATCAACCTTTTAATACTCTTCGCCTTCTCTACCGGGCGCGAGTGTATTTTCCGTGACGCTGCTCCTGGCGAAGACTCTCTTCTTGACTGGGAAGAGGTGCACGTCGACGGTTTGGATCCATGTCGGCAGGGTTCATAGGTGGAGGAGGGATGGGTAGCTGGAAGTTACCCGGCGGAGGAGGAATCCCTCCCGGTGGCGGGATCAGACCTGGAGGGAGGGATCCTGGAGGTGGTATGGGGACGCCGGCTTGCTGCATCAGCTCGAGAAGCTTTGCCGGGTCTGGAGGGTTGTGGAGATCCAGGCCGGGCAGCGGAGGCGGCGGTGCCCCGTTAAAGCCGGGGATGCCAAAAGGCGGAGGAGGTGGAGGAGGAGCTACTGCGCCGACGCCGACTCCAGGAGCAATCGGTGGCGGTGGTATGTTCGAGCCGAGGCCAGGAACGGCGCCTCCACCCAAAGGCAGACCAGGGATGCCGCCAGTCAAGCCGGGGACGCCGGTAGGTTTGGGGGCATCCTGGTCGACAAGAGCGTCCATCTCGTCTTCCAGCTCGCGCTGCTCTTCCTCTTGGCGCTGGCGGCGATTGCCACGCCGATCCCATGTGCCTTGTGCTTCGGCAGCTGCCTCACCAATATGGTACCGGTCCTGGAAGATTTCAGTCTCGCCAGGTCGGGCACGGCCCCAGAATCGGGTGATGCGGTCATTGGAGCCAGATGCCAGGATGTGACCCTGGGGGTGCCAATCCAGAGACCAGATGGCGTAGTCGTGTGCAAATGGAACCTTGTGCGTGGGCCAAACTGATTGGGCGGGAGTTGATTCTGGGTCGAGGCTGTCATAAGGGGCGACGGTAAGAGGCTGGCCAGCTGGGGGGTTCGGGGTGTCGAGCATATAGTGGTGGAGTGATCCGTCCATGCCACCAGTGGAAAGGAGGTTGGCATGAATTGGGTGGAAGGTCAAAGTTGAAATGTCTTTTTCGTGGCCTTTTAAGAGAACAATATCTCTCATCATGCGCAGATCAAAGACGCGGGCCGTTTGGTCTCGAGCCGACGTGGCAAAGCACCGGCCGAGCTTCTTCTCAAATAGAACCTTGGTGATGGTGCTCTTGTGGCCATGAAGCGTGGTGAGGCTTCGCGCTGTCCGAGGGTCCCAAAGCTTGACCAAGTGGTCCTTGGAACCGGAAATGATGAGGCCTTTGGTTGGGTGCCAGTCGACGGACTTGGCATCCCAGCCGTGGCCTTCAAGCTTCAGCTCCTCCTGACCAAGAGCAAAGTCGAAGATTTTGAGGGTAGAGTCGTCCGAGGCAGTGACGAATTTGGAGTCATTGGGACTAAACGCAAGGTCTCGGATGGGATCCGTATGAGCATTGATGCTTTTAACGTTATTGAAATTTGGCTGCCAGTACTTGATCACTCCGTCGTGGTCGCCTGAAATCAGCCAGTCATCGCTGTGCGAGTACTCCAAGGCACGAATGGCGGAGTCATGAGCCTGCATAATCGTCTCGAAGTTGAAGCCGGTGCCATTCCAAAGGGTAAATTCACCGCTTGTTGACGCTGTAAGTAACCTGCGCCCTTCTGGAGTCCAACGAACCACATTGATAGGGTGCTTGATTTTGTTCAGTGATGAGTGCAGGTGCTTGGCCGGGATGGAATCAGCGGGAAATACTGGTCGCCCTGCCGGTGGAATCATCTACAGGAGTGTTAGTCTACTTCAATGACCGACGTCTTTGCTCAAAATCCGGGTTGTTTCTCACATCGACGATGTAGCTCGCGCTTGGGCGTTCCCTCTCGCCGGTGTAGCCACCTCGATAGTTGGGAGCGCGGTCTCGCATCCAGTGGAGGACACTGGCGCTGTAGTCCGTTACAGGTCCTGTTGAGATACCAATTAGCTATCCTTGCTCTGGTAGATGCTGAGGTATTTCATCCTGATCCATGGTTGACGATATAAATGGAATAGGCCAAAGCAGATCAGGATGCAGTCGGCAAAACAAGATATATATGCTTAGACAAGCGGCGCCAGAGGCATCTTAGTAGGACACTTGTCCATACACGTTTGAAAGCTAGATAACAGACCTTGATTTATGGTCAAGGCAAATGAGAGAGCTATCAAGAATAATACTCTTATAATGGGCGGCTTGCTGTTAAGACTTAACCGCCCTTGAAAGCTATAGATAAGAACGAGTAGGTTCTACTAGGCAGGAGGTAAAGACGAATAGCACGGCAGAGGTATATGTGATAATGAGATCTGGAGAATGAGGAATGGACTCACTTCGACCGCGGACCTTCATATAGGAGCCATCTTGGCCCTGGCCACCACCTCCTCGATCGCCATGCTCACCACGAGGCTCATAAGCCATCGTCGCGTGTTCCCGTTAAAGTGCTAATCATGCACCGGAGTGGTAAATTCGATGGATGCTACGGATAAGCGGATGGAATATATATTGAATATATATCTGCACGCCTCCCAATGAGAAAATTAATAATTCTTCGCCGAAACAAGCCTCAATGGAGAGTTTGTAGAACTGCTTGCGAAGATGAAAGTCTCATTTCTGTGAAGCCCGCGCCTTGAGAGCGTCAGGCGAAGAACAAGCGTTGATTGGCTGCAGGTCATGTGATGCAGCGAGGTCGTCTTGCCTTAGTCATCAAACTTGGAATAAGTGCCATATCCTTGTGGTAGAGCAACTCGTGCTCCATTGGGGAATATTAGTGGTGGAAACTAGACGACGTCAGGTTTGAATGTCTGTCTTGGAATGTTGCTTTATCAAAATATGAGTGTGACTGTGACTGCCGCATGATCAAAGGCGGAATCTCACGTGGGTTGCTGTTCACGTTATGGGAGAGAGAATAACTGGTGCAAGCACATAAGATGGTTTCAGATTTGATAGCTTATCAGTTCTCAACTGCAAAGGTGGTAAATGCAGTGGTAATCCATGCATATCATATATTAGAAGTCATGTAGGGATGCTTGCCACTGCATGGAGCATAAACTTTGCAAAGCCGTTGTTAGTGCCTGGTACTAAGTACGAGTAAGAGATGTCCGCGAGGGACTTGTTGTTCATGGTAATGGATGTGTATGTGGCTCAATTCCATATGTTCCATATCCTAGCATAAAGCATTTTCTTCACTGGACTGCTCCTGACACAAGGCTTCCATCATGCAAAATGTTTGGTGCTTGGCAATCCACAGCTTTCACATGCTTTTTTTCTTCTCTCGCTGCTAATAGTAACTGAGGCAGATGCCCTTGTTCATTGAAACTCCTGCGCCCCACCCTCCGGAACCCAGCAGTCGATTACCCGCTATTTTCCGCTAATGCCGCCACTGGTCAATTTGACGATACAGCGACTAACGCAGGCCGTGTACCTTTTAATACCGTCAACCGCACCTAAAATACGAAGTCACCTTTTTTCATGCAGTTTTGGAGCCAGGGAAATGTCCTCTCAGCCTGGCTCCATCTTAACCGTCACCCTTACATTAGATAGGAGTCTGACTCTCTCACGTTCATTTCGGTCGACGCCGATACGTTGGATTTACACCGAGGCACATGAGGCAATTTGCCGACCGGGAGAGTTGCTGTAATGTACACGTAGAGCACAATACAAGGCATTTAGTACGAGGTACGCGGGCTGCGGGAAGATAAACTCAATGCTATGCCGGCCAAGAGAGCCCCTCCCTACTTACCTAGCTGAAGCTTGATCAGGACCTAGGCCTAGTAGCTTGTTCCCTGTTCGCCGTACTGTCCCTCGATCTCCTTCTATCATCTCCCATCTCAAGTAAAGGCAAAGTTTGCCCCCTCTCTCTCTTTGCAAGTTACACCTACAAAGCTCTCTGCCAACAGCAAAGGGCCAGATCGTTGGACCCGAGCATGGCGCCTCCCACAGAGTCCTCCACGGCGACCAGCGTTGAGGCCTCTACCGGCTCCGTGTCTCGCCGCAACGCCTCACAAAGCGAAGCAGATCTAACCTCAGTGGAGCCCGTCAACGGCACGACCAAGGACCGGCTGTCCAAGACACCGCAGAAGAAGTATCGCCATGTCGCCGCGGTGCATTCTCAGACGAGGCCATCGTGTCTGAGCCACGACTCCCCTGCGGCTCCTAGCTTTCTCGGATTCCGCAATCTCATGGTCATTGTGCTTGGTACGGATCACTTCTGGATGGCGACTTGTCCTTCTTCTTTTTAATGAGAGCATCCATCTAACGTGCAATCAGTTGTTGGCAATCTGCGATTGATGATTGAAAACATTCAAAAGGTGCGTAGAGCATTTGCTTCGACATGTCGCGAGACGTGGAGTGGGTGACGTAGCACTGACATGCATCTGGCTTTGGTGTAGTACGGCGTCTTGATCTGTATCAGATGTCACGACTACAGACGACAAGATCTGCTCCTGGGTCTCTTGCTTTATTTTCTTATTCCATGCCATCTGTTTGCGGCATACCTGATAGAGTTTGTAGCTGCCAAGCAGGCCGAGGGGTCCAGGAAACGAATCAAGGACAACAGCGCTGGCCCTTCGGAAGCAGAGCGCAAGAAGTTCCACTCCATCTGGGTTCTCGCGGCTTTAGCCCATGGAATCAACATCACTCTTGCCCTCGCAATCACCACTGTTGTGGTCTATTTTTATGTCTATCATCCGTTGATTGGCACATTGACCGAGATGCACGCCATCATCGTGTGGCTCAAGACGGCCTCATATGCATTCACCAACCGAGATCTTCGTCACGCCTATCTACATCCAGTTGCAGGAGAAGAAGTACCTGATTTGTACAAATCTTGCCCATACCCACAAAACGTGACGATGAAGAACCTGGTTTACTTCTGGTGGGCTCCCACCCTGGTGTATCAACCTGTTTATCCGCGGACCGACAAGATTCGATGGGTGTTTGTGTTTAAGCGACTCGGAGAGATCTTTTGCCTGGCTGTTTTCATCTGGGTTGCCACCGCCCAATATGCAACGCCCGTTTTGCGCAATTCGCTTGACAAGATTGCCTCTCTTGATCTACCCAACATCTTGGAGCGACTTATGAAGCTTTCGACAATCTCTTTGGTCATCTGGCTGGCTGGCTTCTTTGCGCTCTTCCAGTCCTTCTTAAATGCCCTTGCCGAGATAATGAGGTTTGGCGATAGGTCGTTTTACGACGACTGGTGGAATAGTGAAAGCTTGGGCGCCTACTGGAGGACTTGGAACAAACCTGTTTATACTTACTTTAAGCGCCATGTCTATATGCCCATGATCGGACGAGGCTGGAGCCCTGCTGCTGCCAGTTTCGCCGTCTTTTTTGTTTCTGCGGTTCTTCATGAAATCCTTGTTGGTGTTCCAACGCATAATATTATCGGTATGTCTTGGGATGTCAGAGGCTCACTTCGAGAGTTGTTTCCTAACAGATTTCATTAGGCGTCGCTTTCTTTGGCATGTTTCTCCAGCTCCCTCTCATCGCCATTACTACCCCGCTTGAGAAGATGAAACTCGGCCATGGCGGCCGCATCCTTGGAAATGTCATATTTTGGGTTTCGTTTACAATCTTTGGACAGCCATTCGCGGCGCTGATGTATTTCTACGCTTGGCAGGCCAAGTACGGTAGCGTGAGTAGGATACCACAGCCGGTACACCACTGACGCGGGCCTGGGGTTTCGCTTTGGACATTTATACAGCGGTTTTGGATTGAATAATGATAAAGACGTCCATAGATATACATACGTAAAAGATACACGGTATAGGTGGACTTTTGATTATATTCTCGGCTCGTTCAAGTGCAAGGAATACACAAAAATGGAAATGAATTGGCTATTATAAGATATGATGATTCATATTTTCGATTCCGAATCTCTATAAATGCTGAGCAATGCTGGTTGGATTATAATCATGATTCCTCCCCACAATCAAGCCCATTGTGTCTTTCTAGCTTTATCGTATAAATGGCATCAGTGTACCGACCCTCTTCCTATAGCTTACATAGTCGTCACCAAAGAATTCGACCAACTTTCCTTCTTCATGGAGGATTCTCCCCCGGAAAAACATGTACAGCACGGCCGAATAGGCAACAAAGCAGAGCACATTGCCTAGCACGAGCTGTGTGCCCAAGCCCCAGTAAAAGAATCCAAAGTAACTAGGATGCCTTATCCACCCATAGATGCCCGTCGTTACGAGAAGATGCGATTGCGCCCTCCTCGTCTGAATTTGGTGGTTGAAACTAGCCCCAGCGTGCAGCATCGCCAAGGAACGAACAGCCTGGCCGATGAGAACCAAGAAGAGGCCAATGAGGAGAAGCACTTGGCCAGAGCCAAAGGGAGCCCAATGTCGGTCGGGGAAGAAGGCAGAGACAATCGTACACTCTACGAAGGCGGCGGAGTGGGCGATGGCGTAGGCCGGCCAGTTCGCCGTGAGCAGAAAGCTGTCGATGCTGACGACGGCGGTATTTCGCTCGGCCGTGGTCCAAAACTCCAGAAAGTGAAAGGTGGAGAGGGCGAGCAGGAAGAAGGGGACGCGCCAGATGGGGCTGTCCGTGAAGAGCAGGACGCTGACGATGCCGACGACGCTGACGGCGAAGGCGATGCCCAGGCAGAATGCGCGGAGGGCGATTCCGGAGAGCGACTTTGGCTGGCCCGGTAGGAAGGGCTTGAGGGGGTTTTCGGGCTGGCGCAGCGGCGCAGCGTTGCGGTTGGGATCTGAGAGGAAGGGGGGGAGGTCGTCGTGATGGCGGGATTGGGGGGCGAATGAGTTTGCCATGGTGGATTGCATGTGGTTTTTCTTCTTAAGATTTCCGGTGAAACGAGTGCCTGGGAGAAAAAGAATTTGCTGGAGTCGGCGAGACTAAGTCGTCGATGAGGAGTGTCTATATCATGGTCCCTCGTGACAGTCTGTCTTTGGTTTTAGATATGGCGATAACGTCTTGATATGTGGTTTTTTTTATGCGAACCCGCACGTGAGGATACGTAGACGGAATTCGGCTTCACAGCCCGGACAGGCCGCGCACGGAGAATTTCGGGTCCTAAAATAACGCTGAAGATGGGCACGGTAACGGAGAGAGTGTGAAGTTGTGATGCTTTGCGAGGATTGTTCAGTAGAGAACAATGGGTGTATTGCGGCAGCGCAGGTGTCAAGGCCTGGCCATGGCGAGAGTTGCTTACGGGCGTTTTGTGGTGGGGCTCAGGGCCTTGCAGCGGGAGATTCTCAGGGGCGCAGTTCTGGGGCTAGCCAGTGGCCACACCTTGGCAACTACACCAGGCATTGATACTTGTGGCATTGGTGATCATTCAGTGAGGGATTCATCATCTAAAATAAGTTCAAACACTTGAACTGCACTTGATTGTTCCATATCTTCTCAAAGCCTTAATTACTTAATGTACTATCTAGGCTTCAATGGCTTCTAGATGGCACGTATCAAGTGGCTGTGTCTCAGATGAATGCCACAGGGCTGAACCTGTTTGACAACGTCTACAACGCCAAGAGGTAGCGTAACCAACAGACTCTGGAGTCTCCACAATCCATCGCTCTCTCCGCGATCTGGTCTCATCGGCGACTTTCGGCTCTGGCTGTTGCTAGTTGGTTTCGACATGGTCTCTATCTATGTCAATACATTTGACATACTGCGGCAATCCGGCAACTTTTACCTCATTGTCTCCTTGTTGAGCTCGTGCTAGTTCTAAACTAACTTCTTGGATGAAACCAGGGCGGTAGAAGCGATCGGTTAACGGAACAGACAAGTGGTATTCCGATGCGTCGATGCAATGGGTACAATCTCTCTGTCCGCTGCATACTTGAATAACAAGCGTGGCGCCAAACATGAGCTTACTCCATGATATTGCAAATTTGGTATGCTTCTCATTGGTTGAATCATAACTCGAGTTTTCAGGTTGCCGCTCTTCACAGGCCTCCCTGGATCGAAAAGGAGGAGATGATGAGCGTAAGAACATTGATGAAGCCCCAGGTACAGGGAATCCAAGTATTCATCTCGTAGTATCCCGCCTGGTAAACAGCACCCAGCCTTAGATAGCAGTCAGCATTTCCTCGTTTTGCTTGTTCGGCGGTCCATCTAGCACTGACATAACTCCTGTAATGGTGCCAGAGAGTAGAGCTTCAAGCCCGGCGACCACCAGATAGACAATCGGCGTCATCCAGAGATACTTCCATGACGACTTCTTCCTGGACCCGTGCGTGAACATGGCGATGAAGACGGCGCCGAGGTGGAACAGCGCGAACGTGATGAGAGTCCATATTACTGTGAAGCGCCAGACGTCACCGATGAAGAAGAGCGTGTATCTCTTGTCGGGCGTGGCATCGAACAGAGTGTGGACGTTGAGGGATGGAAACGGAGGAGTGGTGTAGTTTGCGGGAGGATTCAGCCGGCGCGTCATCTGCGCGATCGAAAGTGTTGACTGCAGGCTCCCTGTTAATATCCAATCTTGCTGTTAGCATAGCATAGACGCAGCTTGCCTGTTGAGATGTCTCCCTTTCCGCTGCTCTCTCCCGCACTGGGATTGCCGGTGACGGTACATGTATGTCGTTCGTTGTATGATGCGCAATGGCGAGCTTCTCCTAGCTGCAGAGCTGCTGTAGCATGTCGCTAGAAGAGACCAGACGGTAATTTCGGGTGGGTCCCCCGGAGACGTCACTTCTAGAGCCTCGGCAAAAGCATGCGCTAAACCACAGCATCAACCGCGTCTGCAACCAGCCATTTGATTTCAACCCATTCAATCAAACAACAGCAACTTCATCGCCTGTCACGGGAGCGCATTCGCATTCGCATTCGAGCCGCGCCGCAGCAGATGCATCACGATGCCTGCTGACCAACTCCTCAACACCGTCCTGCAGTATTACCAGGAGCTTCACGATGCGGCCAAGACGGAACAAATCATCGGCACGACCGCACACCTGCTCTCACAGCTCTCCAACCCGCTCAACCTCGGCGTTCTCACGTCTCAGCTACTAACAGCTCCTGCGATATGGGAGAGGCACGATGGATTGCGCACCTCGGTTCGCATCATCAGCATCTACAACAGCGCCGCGATTCGCGTTTGCGAGCAGGAGGCTCTCAACGACAAGAACAAGCTGGAAGGCCGGCCTCTCGAGGGAGGTGCTATCAAGTGCGATGCCTGGACGCGGGCGGTTGTCAAGGGCGCGGATGAATATTCAAAACGGTGGCAACATCTGCTGGTTCTGACGGGCGTCCTCATGGGCATGGAGGGCAACGATAGACGTGCGCTGTCTAGCAGCCTCAGAGGGATCCTTGGGCAGGCGGTTGTGCTGGCGGCAAATATGGCGCTGGAGAGCCACCGACAGGATGGACCGCTTGCTGGCGCTTCAATTGCGTTGGCACTCAACTTCTCATTTCCACTGCTCTCCGATTTCCACAAGGCCCAGATCAACTGCAACGAGTTATTGCCCGTCACTATCTGGGCTCTTACCGGCCCGGAAGGCTTTTGCGAAGGCCAATTTCTTCAAGTTATTGGAGAGAGCATCACTGAGGCTCCCGGCCAGCAGCTCTCCTGGACCTCACAAACGCCCTCGTTCCAACTACTGCAGGCCATGGACCAGCGACCTCTGATGGGAAACATTGGCCCGTTATCGAAGCTTGCAGCCTACGCGGCCCTACACGCCACTGACACGAACATTGTCTTGGCTGCACAGGAGGCGCTGCTGGTTTTCTCGCGTCAAGTGCTGGACGCCTGGCGGTCGAACCGGTTTAACGACATTGATCCCGCGTTTGAGGCCAACAAGCTGAGCCTTGAAACGCTTCAGAAGACGTGGCCGGTGCTGTGGGGAGTCTTTCGAAAGCTGCTGTTTGGCGCTGTGGCTGTTCTGCAGGCCATCGTTTCCCGCAGTCTACTCGATCATCGCATGTTGAATCCCGTAGCTGCCTCAGAAATTGCTGCCAAATCACTAAATATTCTGCGGAATCTTTATTTCATCTCCAGCCGGAACAACAACAGCGCTTTCCAGGTATATACTTTCAGCTACCTAACCTCCATCGACAGCCTCTCCCGACATCCGGCCGCATGTGAGCTGCTCCTCAGGGAGATTCGCCCCCTCGAGGCCCCTACTGCTCCTATCACACACCTCTCAAGGACACTGGATCTGTTTTACTTGAATGTTGCCGAACACTTGCCCCTGGTGCTCTCCACAGCAGCCTGCGAAGCTCTCATCATCAAGCCAGCGACTGCATACCTTTCCCAAGGGGGCCCAATGACCCCATTCACGGTCGAACTTTTTGAATCTTCCCACAGCGCCATCCTCTCTGTTCTCTCCTGCCCGCAGCATAGTTCACTCACCATTGACATCACTCCCTTCTATATTGTCAAGCTATTCGAATCCTTCCCCCAACAGATTTCCCCGCGGCAATTCCGAGTCGCCTACAAGACTGTCATGCAAATTGTCTCTCCTCCTAACCCCATCGCCGCAATGGAGCCTCATCTTGCGGAAACTCTCCTTGAGATGCTTCGGGCTTCCATCGCCACCGCAGGCACCGCTCTTCTGCCTCAAACCCCGGATGCTGCATCGCCAGATGGTACTTTGCCAGAGGATGCTGCCAAGGAAGCCCCAGAGCCTTGCTCAGAACAGAGTTCACTGACCATGGCCCTGGTTGATACGCTGCCATCCGTTCCTCTGCACTTGGTAGAAGAATGGCTTACCATTACGGCGCAGACGTTGAATATGATTGCAGATCCCAAGCTTCGGGCGCCAGTAAAGAAGCGGTTCTGGGACATTCTCATCAATGGAGAGATGGATGTAGAAAGAGCTGCCATCGGAGTCGCCTGGTGGGCGGACCAAGGTGGAAGGGAGATATTCGTCTCCAAGCCCGCTCAAGAAGCAGCAATGATGAGCGGCGCAATTGTGTCTAATGACCAGGTGGCCAGCAAGTTGTAAGGATATTACGGGATGCATCATGCATCACTGACGTGCGACGGTATGGCGGCAACTGCAAAGGGGAGCTTCTTAGACTTATTCGCTGATGTTGGAATCTGTTCGTCTGACATGGATAAGCGCGTGTTTTTATGCAAGCAATATTAGTCTTTAGGAGATGGTTACATGGCGCAATTTTGTTTGGCGATGATATATACTGCTGTGGGAAATGCAGCGTGATCCTAGGCTGGTGAGGATATATACGAGGGCCTTTAAAATACATAGGATTAATACACTTGAACATAGACGAAACAAAAAGAAAATGTTATTCGACGAGGCTTGCTTCGTCCTTGGAAGTTTTGGGCTTCGCGCTGTTTGTTCCGTCCACAATGGCTGCACCACTGCGTGGCAGCTGGAGTATCGTGAGATTCCCATTCTCTTGCTTCTCCTTTCCGAGCACGGTCACTGAGGCAGCTTCATCGTCAATTGCGGCCGCCGGGGGTTCTTCGACGAATGAACCAGACATGCCGCCGCAGCTTGCTCGGAGTCTCAAGACATCTCACAGCTGGGCCAGCATTTTCTATCTATCGTTCTCACCTTAGACAAAGCCTAAGCCCCATCCAACACCTACATCTATCTACATCAGTTACAATGCAAGGGATTATGAGTTGTGCAAGGACTTGGTTGATTGTAATGTCCATGATACATGTTTTTGTTTAATGGCATTACCAGAGAGGTACATTCGGCTCTCTTCGATGACCTAGAGGTACGTACTAGGTACAAATGTAGACTCCTCTTGCCAATTGAACGAAACATCTCGCACTTTCCCAAAATTTTAAACAAGCACAAACAGGCAGTCAGACATACCGAAGCCGAGGAAGGTGCATTTGGGCCTCGTTTTCCAACCCTATTCTTTTTCTTTCTTCTTTTCTCTTTTTTACACGTCGTGATGACTTCAAATTCATTACTACCAACTGCTATTCAGCCAATTAGACACGCTCTGATATTCAACAGGCAATCCTTGATCCTACATCCTCCGTTGCCATCACATCTTGATTCGTTCTTTCCGGCCGCATGCGGTAACTTTTCGCAATTCCAATCCAATTGCACGCCTACCTCCAGCAATACCAGTCAAGATGTCACGATGAGATACCGGTCCAACCCGAATGATGCAATACTGCATTATCTTTGAACACGGGTGTCCTCAGGATGGTCCTCAACATCAACCATGATCGCTCTTGATCAAAATACTCTGGCTTTGCCAATGATGCCATGTCGCGTCATATCTCACTCCAGTTTCTATTCAAAGCAAAAACCAGACCCCTCCTTTTACTATCAACACCCACCTCCTTCGCCTCATCATGCTGCAGCGAGCGAGCATCGGGATCGGCAACAGATTGGCCGGGCATCACATCATCAAACCCGGAGGCCCCTCCTTGCGTGCGCAATTGACATTCCACTCCAATGGTCTTTGGCTCGCAGGAACCACTGCTTGGTAAACGTGGTGAGTGTTTCTTGCCTACGGCCCCGTCGGGTAGGCGTATCGCCGGCATGGCTTCTTTGTTTAGTACGTAGATGGCTCAATCCGTCCATTTAGCTAGCGTCTCCAGATCTGCAGCTAAATCATCGCAAGATGCGCTCATCCGAGTTCCAGCGAGGCACTGCTCTTTATCCAACCCGTTATTACCCCGCCGCCAACTCTTGCGAAGCTTTTGTCTTAGATGACGACGGCAACCTCTCATCGCAAAGATCAGGAACTAACAACGCCACTTGCCCATCAGCACCCGAATCTTGCTGGAATTGCTGCGGACGTGCCGGGACAAGATGGGGGGGAAGCGCAAGCCATCCAGTACTACAGGGCTCATCCTGAGAGAAAGCTGGCTATGAGCTCCTCAGATAGGGGAGATGAGCAAGACATAGCCGGTCCAGGCAATAGAGCATCTCTATCAAGGAACAAGCAAAAAAATGTTGACAATTGAGCTCTAGCTCACCAAACGTTACCGCGAAGAGTATAACGCAGGGCTACTAACAGGGGGGTTACAGCTGGGCATGCCCAGTTGGCGGGGTATCTGGGGAATATTGGATACGTCAATGACGATTTCAGCTGTGCCGGGGTGTGTTGATACTGCTTCGCCTATGTCGTGCTCTCTTCCACTGAGTCGAGGCCAATGCTATTCAGCTGCATCAGCATTCCGGGTGGGGACTCTCTCCAGACACCCAGTGGCGTGTGCCGTGGCAGCTATCCAGAACATACCAACCTCGTCTAAGTTGGATAGCTTTGGGTATGGATGCGACAGTTGCTTATGGCGCATCTCCCTCCATCTCTCTGGTATATATAGGGGTGTGACATGTCCCGTTACGTGTTTGACCTTTCAAAGACAAAGTCTTCAATCCAATCTCGACCATTACCATCATAAAACCAACCTCTACATAAACACAAATACCATTCAAAATGTCTTACGGCGGTGACAACAACGATAACGTGAGTTTGATACAAATTCGCCCCTGGTCTCTCATCATTTAAACACAAACTAACCAGCATTGGGTCTCGGATGTTATAGTACGGCGTGAGTTAAGACGATACTTTGAGATGAAGTGATATGCCCAGCCCTCAGTTCAATCACTAACACCGATCAGTCTCGCCGTAATGACGACAACTTCGGCTCTGGTGGAAACCAGCAATATGGCTCCGGAGGAGACTCATTGGGCTCTGGGGGAGATTCATACGGCTCTGGTGGAAACCAATTCGGCTCTGGCAACCGCCGTAACGATGACAGCTCATTTGGTACCAGTGGCCAGGGCGAGTTCGGCTCTGGAGGTAACTACGGCAGCTCTGGCAATGACTCGTTTGGATCTGGAGGAAACACCTATGGCTCCGGCGGCAATGACAACTTTGGCTCTGGAGGCAATGATACCTACGGCTCGTCCCGTAACCAAGACTCTTCTTTTGGATCCAGCGGCCGCCAGGGTGATTCGTCATATGGCTCATCAGACACCTATGGCCAAAGCCAAGGTCAAGGCACCGAGTCATATGGTTCAAGCAACCGCAACGAGGAGTCTTCGGGCCAACGCTCCAAGGGCGAAGGCCTTTTCGAGAAGGTGAAGGACAAGGTGTCGCACATGGGCAGCCGTGGCGGCAACTCCGGTGGCGATAACTACTAAAATAATTCATGGGAGGATGGAATGAGTTGAGCTGAGAAGTGTGGAAGTAATAGTTTGATCTAATGACAATCTCGGCATGGATGCGGAACCTGTCTATTGAGATATTTTCCAAGGTTTTCAAAATAGTAAAACCTCATGAACAAAACAATAAAAACAAAGGTCGTCTACTACTTGCTTGAAGGCTTCTCCACTACAAGCTTTTCCACCTTGACTAGTATTGCTCCATCCGTTGCCTCTCCCCTTGTATTCCTCAAGTGTACGAACCTATATCCTTGGCCCAGCCTGTCAAGCCTTATGCATGCCCAGGCCGCCAAATCATCCCTACCAATCTCATCATCCCTGATCGTAAATCTCACAAAGGTGAGTTCTTCGACTAGCCCCGGGATCGCCTTAAACTCGAGCTTCTCTGCTCCGAGATCGAGGTCACGGCCCTTGTGCGTCTTGGTGCGGACCTTGTACTCGCTCTCGTGGACGTGGCCGTCGCTCTGGGCGTGGCTGTTTTTGGAGCCCTCGGCGTGGAGCTCGACTTTGATGTAGGGCTTGAAGCCCTTTGCGGACTTCTCGCCGGCGGGGAGGGGGATGTTTTGGGCGGAGAGGAAGGTGAATACCAGGGTGGCGGTTTTGCGGGTGATTGCGATGGGGCTGGCGGCGTCTTCTGCTGCGGTTGGTTTGGGGCGGTATCCTGTTGAATAAGCCATTAGTTGAGGTATTGTACTTGTTTTATATCATGAAATATCGCTTGATTGGGGTGGTTATAAGTAGCACGATGTAGACTTACCTTCTGGCTTTAAAACATAGCCCCCTGTTCCGGTAAACATGCCCTCGTTGAGCATCATGCCTTCATCCGTCTCTTGCCAGTTCAGGGCGATTATCTGAGCGCCTCCGCCCCAGAAGATGGCCGGGTTGAGGTTGGAAGATCCGATGCGGAAGCCGGCAGGGTAGGCTCTCAGGAGATAGCGTTTGTTGTGGTTGAAGAGGACGGGCCACTGCTTCTCATGGTAGTCGATGAACTTCTTCTCGGAGATGGAGAAGATGTGCGTGGGCATCGTGGCCTCGGGCTGCGTCCAGCCCTTGAAGGTGACGCCCTGGGTGTAGATGGCGAGCCGGGCGAGCTCCTGGATGGTCTTTGCGGGCTTCGGCGGCGGGCCGGCGGATGGCATGGGGACCTGCTCGCTGCGGATGGTGTCGACCTTGTCCAGGGGCGTGCCGGGGGGGACGTATTTGACCTTGATGAGAATCTTTCGCCGCAGGGCTTCGGGGCTGGGCAGGGCTTCGATCTCGGCGTCGGGCTCTGGCGCCAGCAGGCCGTCCCAGACCTCCTTCATGATGTCCACCATGACGATTTGCTGCTTGGCGCTGCAGTGGACTTCCAGGCTGACGATGAGCGGCATTTCGGAGGCGACGAATGCGCTGTCGCGGATGGCTTCGCAGACGGCCCTGAAGGGAACGTCCTTGGTGAGGGTGTATCCGTGCAGCACTCTTGGCTCTATAACGGCGTTGGGGTCTGGTTTTCTCGTGACGGCCTCTTCTAGCTCGGCTACCTTCTCGGTCGCCTTGTCTTCCATCTTTTCTATCTTCTTGCCAATATTGATTTTGTCCATCTTGCTCCTCAGTTGGTCGCTCCATCCGCCCTTCTTTTCGCTGTCCTTGGCTTCCTTCTTTTCCTTCTTTTCCTTCTTTTCCTTCTTCTCCTTCTTCTTCTTCTCCTTCAGGGCAGCCTTTTTGGCGGCAGATTCATCGTCGCTTGTATCACTCTCTGAAGAAGTCTCTGCGTCACTCTCATCACCATCCCACACGTCAATCTCGACGCACCGACATCCTCTCAGCAGGACGTTGGTGTAAGCCCCGGTGGTGCTATCACTCGACAGCTGGTTGCCCGTCAGATACGTGTTGTGGCTGGAGCTGATGAAGTAGCTAGACAGCGGCCACGAATAGTCCTCCTTCTTGACCGGCAGCACGGCATTGCTGTGAGAAGAAGTCATGAATGCCAGGAAGCCGGCGAGGTCGAGGTCCGGCGTGCTGAGCAGCCGTGCCGCAGCGTCGGCGGTGGCATCGTGGCCCTGGACCTTCTGCACAAAGACTCTGGCCTGCTCGGCTGTCCATTTCCCGTCTGGAGTTGCGTGGGATTCGAAGAGGCGCTTGAGGTAGGCGAGCGTGTTGGTGCTGAGGGCTTCGATGGTTCGTTGGCCTGAGCCTGAACCCCCGCCAGATTGGAGCGAGGGGCTGGCGGATTGATCTGGACCAGCCATGGCGGAGAGAAGAAGGAAGATGGATGTTGAAATTATACAAGAAAAAAAAAAGAAATTGAAATGAGATGATGTTTTTCTTTTTCTTTCTTATCTTATAATTCTAGGATGACGCCGATGTATCAAAATGCTGGGAGAGTATGAGTATGTATGGGGGGGAACATGAGAGAGAAGGAGTGGAATACTGAGGTGATATACTGCGGGAAAGGGTCTCGTGAGATTGTTCTAGACCACGCCCAGCTTCGCCTACCCTGAAGTGAAGCGAGCCAAGCAAATAGACCAAGACCAATGGCTGCACAAATCTTGTCACGAATAAAAGTCAGTACAAAAAGCGCAGCTTACGGGTTGCCTCTGTGAATCGCTGCAAGAAAACGAATCGGGGGGGCTCAGCCTCTTTGGTGCCCCTCCATGCAAAACCGACGGTGGAGCCGTGAATCAATCGCTGACTTGACATGACATGACAGCTGGGTCTTTGGGAGAGGGGCAAAGGAGGAGCCCCCTAAATTTGGCGATCCCCTTATTTTGACCACATCACCTTTGTTGAGTTGAAGCTGTTTTAATCTTTATGGTTTATTCATGATATGGAGAGTCGCGTGATGCATAAATTGTTATTGTTGTGTATATACGAAATTCTATATGATTAACGGAGTATTCAGGGTTATCTTGTTCTACCATGATCACATGTAACCATACGGGTATGTATCCATCGTGCCCATATAGCCATATTAAACAAGATATAGTAGCCTCATTTACTAGATGCAGGTATATAGAATACTATGCTAAGGATCAACCCAGGTAGATGCAATTATATCGTATAGGATATCCTAGGGTGGTATACAAAGATACACAAACTCGAACAAACAGCGTGAATAATGTATAAGCCTTCATACGCTCATCTCTTCTTCTCTCTCAATGATTCCGCTCTGCGCCGCTCAAGAAACTCCTCCATGTCAACGTGTACCCTCATCCCCTTTGACGTCATGGTGTTATACACCGCCCTAAGCTCCTCCGATTCCATATCCCGAATCAAGGTCAGAAAAGCCTCCATCATCACCTCTTTCGATCCAGGGCAGTGCCTCAAAGCCCGGTAAAACACATCCTTTGCCTTTGTGCGGAACTGCATCTGGCAGAATCGAATGTAAAATATCCACAATGCGGGACTGTTCTGACAAGTGTCACTCGCCAGAGCTTGCTCAAATGCAGTCTTTGCCGTATTAGCGTTGCCATGTGTAAGCTCGTGTTGAATGGCAAACACGCGGCTGCTAATGCAGTCATGCTGCTTCACTAGAACTTGGTCATACAAAAGGTCACGCGTCTCGTCAATGACCCGAAGGCTCGCATCAGACCATTCAAACATGGATAAGAAGACTGAATTCTGCGGAAACTGCCGAATGAAACCTGATAGCTTCTCGCGGAGGTACACTCTCCGGAATGGTCTATGTGTTGTTTATTAGCTCGACAGTCCACATGTTGCATAGATAGATCCAATAGAAAAAGTCATGGTGGTAGAAACGGTAGGATAACAGCAGAATAGTAAAGGCAAGTGGCCACTCACCCTTTTGATGCATGTAGATATAGCAACCGAGAAGCATACTGAAGGACACGCTCGTGCGCCGCGGAGCTGGCTTGCTCTTGAGACCGAAACTCTTGAGATATCATATCAACAGTGCTCATCGCAGCAGCAATGTTACCTTGGGAAACTGACGCGGGCTCCAAATTTCCCGACACCGTGAGATATGACAATAAAATCATGCACTCGGCGAGTACGCTGGCTCCAACCAAGTCCCGGCCGAGTAAGTATTCGTGGAAATCCGAAGTAAATGTTGGATGAGCTTTCAGAAGCGTAGTACTGCCAACTTCAGGGATATTCGACCCCGTGCCCTTGAGACTCTCGTCCACAGAGGCACAGAGACGCACTTTTGCCAAGTCAATGTTTCCCGCCTCAAATTCCATCCAGCTCCAGCTTCCATGAAACAGGAATTTATGCCACTTCGAAGACAGCTGAAAGGTGTGTTAGTACTTTCTTGCAAGCCTCTGCACCAAATCACATACCGATGAGGACTCAATTGCAGCCCCTAGAACTTTGCTCGCCACACTGACATCGTTGGTCGATTCGGCAACTGCATATGCATTATAAAGCTCGGAATTCGCAGGATATTGTTTGAGCAAGGCCTTAGCAGGCTTCTTGACGCTCGTCTGCTCATTCGAAAAAACTGTAGCAAGATAGTATTGAGACAGCCCTTCCATTCCCCCAATGTGAACAAGCTGTCTCAGTGCCTCTGATGCCCAGAGCGAGCTCACTATAGGATTCTGCGACTTGGGAACGTACTGAAACCATCTTGAGCCGCCAAACAGTAAATGAGGAGAAGCGGCCGCCTTTACGCCCATTCCAAATCGCGGTTCGCTCTTATGCCAGTTCTCTGTCTCGTCATCATTATGCTTAACTGGCTGTAAGTCAACCCTGATAAGAGACGATGAGATGAACTGATCGCCATAGGCCATTTCCGTCCAACTGCTTGCTCGAAATGCCGGAGGAAGACCACAGAAGAGTAGAAATGCATCAATCAGCTGCGTCGAAACCTCTGGTAGAACAGAACTCGGTATGAGAAAGAGAAGTGGTTGGATGTCAGAGTACATTACGACTCTGAAAGGATCATCATCTGTGCCATCATCCATAGTCCTCGCTGGCACCTTTGCGGCTTGAGAGAGAGAGTGCTCAAGATGTGCCCAGGCTTTGTAAACATCTCGTGAGGAAGAGGGTGCAATCTGAGCAGCCTGTACCGGCTCTGCGGCATCATCATCGCCACCAGTTTCGACGTAATGTCTCCAACCTTTCGCGTTGGCGTCGCCTATCCGAGGAACCTCGCTTTCCCAGAAGTCGTGGAACGACTCTAGCGCAGACTGCTCGCTTTCCATGCTCAGGGGCCTAAAGAAGTTGAGCTCCAAGAGACCCTGCCACGTCGCGATAGCCAGTTCTTTGTAGCCAGCATCATGGACGAAACGAGTAGTCCTCAGCAACACAAAGATGGCTTCTTCAATGGCTTCTTTGGCTTGATTTGACGCCAGGCGGGAGAGAGTAAGGCGTAGCCTGTCTAGGAGCAATTTTTTGATGTCATCATATTGAAATGTTGTAATGTTGGACGTCAAAAAGTCAAGGTGAGTTTTCCACAGGAGGAAATTATCGCCCTCACTCTCCAGAACTTCTGACCACTTCTTCATGGTCACTTTGCTAGTCCACACTTTGGCGCCCTCTTGCATCAAATAGACGAGAACTCGCCTGCGGTCTTCTACACTCTGTGTGTTCTTAAGAGCCGACTCGAGCATGGAAACTTTAATCTCTGCAAAGCTATGAGCCTCGTTCTCTAATACCGCGTGATCCAGATCTTCTCCAGCTTTCAGTAAAGCATCTTGGTGATCTACAAGCTCTAGCCAGGCATCGATATCTTTTGGTGTATCTTTTACTTGCTTGCTGAGCCTTATAGACTTTTGCTTCAGTGGATTGCTCCGATCCACCGCCAGCATGTCGATTGACATGTCCGAGTCCTCATCCGAGTCACTGTATGAGGGCTGGCGTGGCTTTGCCTTGCCCTCGATGGACCGATATGAAGGACGTTCATCATCCGAGGACTCTTCATCTCGTTGATCACGCTTTCGTTTTTTAGATGAGGTCAAGGATAGGTATCCTTCAGCCTCATCCGCGACATCAGCATCACTCCTTCTTGTTAGTGCTCTGATTGGCCTAGATTCCACTCTTAGCATCTTGGATCGGAGACCATCTCTACCGGAAAATGTGTGGAAGCCTTCGCCCGGCATGCGGAGACTAAATTGATCCCTTGGGCCATCACGGTGGATGACTAGGCGACCCTCTGTACCAAGGACTCTACCACCCCCATAGCGACGGTAAGCAGGAACCTGTGATCTGTCAATGCCGCCGTATTTTATAATCAGGGGGTCGCCTTTTGTATCGATCACAAAGAGGCCCGGAACACCCTCTGGCTTGGTGACAGGCCTTGGCTTTTCTGCTGCATCTGCCGTTTTCTCACGCCTGGAAGGCTCTCGACGAGCTCGATCTCTGTCTCTGCCTCGATCCCGGTCGCGGTCACGGTCTCTGTGGCGACGAGACTCCCGGCCACTGCGCCTTGAGCTACGATCCTCATCAGACCGGCGGCTGCTTGGTCTATCCTCATTACGAGCATGCCTCTTGCGGCGAATCTCATGCTGTTTCTCAAGGCTCTGAGGGTTCTCTTTGCTTGCATCTTTTGATTTGAAAGAGGAGAATTTCGGCACACTGAGCTTTACGTCTTGCTCGTCTGGCGAGGCCATCGTGAATGAAGCTCAGCAAGATCCTTTGAGAAGTACCATGTTGCTGATCCGATGCGAGATTGACATGTAAAATGTCCAGCAAAGGTGAAACGAATGAATGTTAGAATCGACGCCTGCTTCTGAATAAATGTTGAATTGTACGACGAAATTGAAGTTGATTTGAAGTGATGAGAGGGCACAGATCATGTACTTTGCAATACCTAGGTACCTAGTAGACCTTTGATGTCGCGTATCTGGTACCACAGCATGAGAACACGCACGTGATACAGCACAGCACATTCAATGCCGCCTGTCCCCCTAGCCTACAGTGCATCGTGCCCCTGTAGAATGCTCACGTTCCCACTATTCCGGCAAGCTCCCGACTAGCGAAGCTCCCAGATAACGCAACTAGCAACAACTTCTCCACGTCAGCAGCAGAAATAGCCTGTATGGAGGATTCATGTCCCTGACCTTACCTGGTGCTAACAGATAAAGAACCTTGAAACATAAGAAATTGGGTTCAATTGCTAAATAAAGCCATCATCTCCAATTCTTATCTCTCTCCATCTCCAGCTCCCGCTCTTTTTCAATCTTCTTCTCCCTTCGCAGCGCTGGGCCATGCCCTCAGTCGCACTTTCGGATCATCTCGTTTGGATCCTGCCCGCTGTCGTTACGCTTGCCATTGGAATCATCTCCGCCATGGGGCTGTTCGGTGGTAATCAGATGCCCGTCGAGGGCAAGGTTAGTAATTCATTTCTTATCCTTCTCTCAATTGATTGGCATCCAGAAAGAGAGAAAGAAGAAAATGGGCTGTCAATGGATGGCCAATGGCTTACAATTTGATGCAGACAATCCTCATCACGGGCGCCTCAGAAGGAATGGGCTTATCCGTTGCCAAGATTCTGTCTTTCAAGGGTGCCAACGTCGTCCTCGTCTCTCGCGGCGTCGATAAGCTGAAAGACGCTCTTGAAATCGTCAAAGTGCGTATTTGCTTTTGCCTCCCTCTGTTTCATGCCGCAAACTGTTTCCGCTGACGTAGCGTCTTTTTCTTCTTCGTCTAAAAAGGCTGCCGCCAAAGACAAGAACAAGCAGCGCTTCCACTACATCGCCGCCGATGTTTCTGCGCCTTCCTACGCTGTTCCTCTTCTTGAAGAGGTCAAGCAGTGGAATGATGGCAAATCCCCTGACATCGTCTGGTGCATTGCCGGAACCTCCACTCCGGATCTGTTCATCGACATGGACATGTCGTCGATGCGTCACCAGATGGACGTCAACTTTTATGGAACGGCTGAGATGTCCCATGCCATCCTCAGGGAATGGCTAGCACCCGAAGCCCCTGTTGAGAAGGAACCCAAGCATCTCATCATGACTGCCAGCGTCCTTGCGCTGTATACTATCCCCGGCTACGCACCTTATTCCCCTTCCAAATGGGCCATGCGAGGCCTGGCCGATACCATCTCCCAAGAAGTCATGATGTACCCTCAGAACGTCAAAGTCCACGTCGTTTTCCCCGGAACGATCCTCTCGCCCGGATACTCACGCGAAATCCTTACCACGCCAGAGATTACCAAGATCCTCGAGTCCAGTGATCCTCAGCAGACTCCTGACGAGGTTGCCGAAGTTGCTATCAAAGGACTGGAGAATGGCAACTACTTTGTAACCGTGGCCTGGCTCGGTGCGCTCATGAAGTGGGGAATGATGGGCGGTTCGTTCCGTAACAACTGGGTGGTTGATACTGTCATGTCATGGTTGGTCTCCCTTATCTGGATATTCGTGCAGCCTGATCTTCATGGAAAGATTCGAAAATACGGCAAGACGCACGGCCATCCTAGCAAGGCCAAGCAGGATCGCCAAGCATAAGTCGGGCGTTACGCAAGTGTGAATAGTGTAGACACATACGATTGCGTACGAGCGTTTGATCTATATTATTTATTCTCAACCCTAGTTCTATATCCTAATTTTTAATTATATACCCTCCATGTGCCTAAACCACTTAAACGCCGCTCCATTTGCCAAACTTGACATATCTCTTGAACATCTCCCTCAGGATAGCTCTTCCACTAGCATCCATTGCGTCGTTTAGAATCTTTCTCACCTCTGGCGGCGTTACGTCGAAAATGGAATTCATTGCCGGCTCAAGAGCCTCGCCCACCTCTCTCGGCACGTCGGCCTCAAGCTGCAGCTTCACATACTGCATCAGCACCAGGTAGACGTGCCGGCCGGCAGACCGTTTGGCAGCGTCTGTTGCAGAATCCAGGGCGTTTTGGTGCTGCGAACGGGATACAGCGCCCGCGGTAGGTTCGCAGATGAGGGTGATGAGGCGACCATATAAACGTGCCATCACCTCCTGCGTGGTGCCATCTAGAGTGCTCTTCGGTTGGTTGAGAATCAGGCTGTTGAGCAAGGCTTGCACGGTGGTCAGAAGTAAGTGGTGGTGGCCCTCCAGTCGTAGGCGGTGTTTCTTAATAATTGTCCCGACCAACTTGCACAACCACGCAAATGGCACCGTTGAACCGTTTGTGCCCTTTGACAAGGCCAAGTCACTGACGGTGCTCAGGGTCACCTCGATATTCCACTGGCCCATGGCTTGTGGCTTCTTTTCCAGAAGAGTTTGGACGGTTTGGCATGTGTAGGCCACATTGGGTGATTTCTTCAATAGAGAGAGTGTTAGCTCGCTGTGAGCTGTTGATAGATCAACACCTTCACCCTTGCCGTGTAGATCAGTGCGTTCTATAAGGTATTTATTAGCAGTGTCCCTCAGCAACTCCTTATTCTGTGAATACATACCGATGAGATGGCCAACGACGTGTTGGATGGCAAGAGCCTGGCCATCCGTATCGCAGCCCCCTGTAAATTCACTAATCAACTCTTTGAGATAGTGTGAAGCGTCAGCCACATCAGTATTGGCAATGATGGACGTGATATATTCCCTCAAGAGAGACTCGCGGGCCTTTGGCGGCAAGCTCGCCAGGCTAATAAACTGGGTTGGGCGAGGATCCTCCATCCCACTCGCCAGATACTTGTGAAGGAAAATCTGAATCTTCCAGGCCCTCAAGTCTCCAGCATCCATAGCCTTCTTACTCCGTTTCTCCAGCTTGCGGATCGCGCTTGACTTGTGCTGTGACAGTTCAGAAGTGTTGTCCATAACCTCCGCAGCGTGTGTCGTCGCAAAAAGCCCCAAATCTTTCAAATTGTCATGTTTTGACAAGAGCTTTTTGTCTGCTATGAGCTCTCCCAGTATCGCCGCTATGTGTCGAGTCAATGCACTCTTAGCATTCTGCTGTAGTTGACTGAGGCTGGATTGACTTTGGAGAGTCGACGACCGACTAAGCTCAACAATGATAGCCTTTAACAGGGTGATCCGGAGCGCCAGGAGGCTCAAGGGGTCACTCTTCGTCTCTTCCGTTTCGCATGTTCCAATAAATGCCAAGCTTTCTGAAAAGTATTTCGCACTTCGTTCATCGAAATTATCCGACATTTGCCTTACTATCGTTGAAGCCATGGCAAAGTACCTCTCAACAAGTTCAAGCAGCGTTTCATCATTTATCGTCTCTTCGAAAGAGAGACTAGAAATGGCGTCAGCATAATCGACAAGATTGGAAAACCGCATTCCGTCGTAAAAGGTCGGCCGCGCCATCATTTTGCTTGCCAAATCAAGCACCAGCTTCCAGCCTTCGAGAGACACCCGCTTCGGAGACTTGACCATCTTCTCTCTCCTCTTGTCCAATATGCTCATAATCTGCTCACGCTGAGTACGGCTGAAGGCTTCCGAGGGTACGCTGCATAGCGTTCGAATCCATAGCTGCCCTCGTTCTCCTGGCCATCCTTTCTCCTTCTCTGACTCGGCCAAGGCTGTGATCAAACGGTCCAGAAGTGTTCTTGAAAGCTTCGCATCGTTAAGATTTGCGTCATTGCTCAGGAGAGCACTCCAAATAGCATACAGCCCAGGGGGGCTTGCATCCTTCGCGGATGATACAGTCTCGAGTAGCGGAATCGCGTCTGTTTTTCTTGAATAGAGCCGAGAGAAACGGCTGCCACCCAGAATATACCAAGCCAAGTACTGTTGGAAGGCAAGTTCCTCATCGAATTCCGACCTCGCCCCGGAGCCGAGAGAAGCTGACAGTTTTGTGATTTCCAAGACATCGTACGACGCAAGATCTTCTACCAACCGCTGGGTGAATTTCTCCACCAACTTGGATGACTCGTCAGCCGCGTCTTCATCTTGGCTCATGGAATCCCAAGCCTCATAGCAGCATTTGAGAGCCTCAAATGTTTCAGCCGACTTGATGGCCCCTTTCCGTAGAAGCTTGGAGAGCTGGTCTTTTACTTGGTCCCAGACATTTTTCCGTTCTTCGGGGGATGTCCATGAAATCGCCTTGGAAATGACCCTCCATTTCAAAGCAGTCTTTGAAGAGTTTTTCAGTTGGGATACCAGGTCGAATAGCTTCATGCCTATGGAGTCGATGAACTGCTCGCTATGCAGTCCTTGCGCAATGACGCTCGTGAAAATACAGAGGGATTGGGGATATGAGCCGGGCCCCTGTCCACCGAGCCATTCGATAACCCCAAGAAGCTGGTGTGGTGACAATTCGGACTCAATCAAAGAAGAAATTGAATTTTCCCGGCTCCCTTCCCGCCCAATATCGAACCAAGGACTACTCGAGGCCAGCTTGCGCTTCTCAGTCAAACACAGCTGTGAGAACCATAATCGCAGGAACCCAGAGAGATCGCGGCGCGTTTGAAAGCTCTTCTTTATAGCTGCAATGAGATCTAACTGATCTCTGAAAACATCGGGATCTGGTTGTTGGCCGATGCTCTGCGTGCAAATATCATTCAATAGAGCTGTGCCTTCCTCAGACATTTGGAAGATATCCGGGTTACACGTAGCAGCATTTGCGAGCAGGCTCCAATCGATTTCTGATCCCAAGCCATAGTTCCGGCATACTTGGCGAAGGTCCCCAGCATCGATTGCTACCGAGTTTCCTACCGCCTGCGCTAGAATCCGCTTCATCAAGGCATTTCTGTCAGGCTTTGTACGGATTTGCTCCTCCACAGCCTTGAATATCCTGTCCATCCAAATCGTATTGATCCTGCGCAAGTCGCTTTCAGTCGAAACATCGGGCATTCCAGCAGCCAGGAAGTATAGCGCTGGAGCGGATGTCCTCGTTTTGCCGTCTGATACACCAAGCGCCCTGGAAATGACCTCAAAGTCTTGGCGATTCCAGAAGTAAGTACGAGCAGGGAGTATGAAATTTCGGTGCATAAACCTCTGGAGGTCCGCACTCCACCTAGTCGCCAAGGCTTCATTGACATTCGGTTTTTGGCCTTGGATAGAAGGTTCCAGCTGTCTCAGGATGGCGGCGGCTGGTCGGAACAGGTGTGTTGCAATCTCAAGAGCGTCAGTATCTCCCTGTAGATGGAGATCCCATATCTTGGAGACAGTGGACACCCAGTCTTCTTTGCCCTCGACGTCGTCGCAAATATCGCTGGTTAGTAACAGAACACAAACTATGAAGAATGATGATGATAATGTCGCGGCTTCAGCTGCAGAAGTAGAGAAGAGAGATTTGATGTGTTCAGCTCCAATCCTGTCGCGGGAACCCACAGCGTTGTTCTCCAATCGGCCAAGCAGAGACTTGAGGGCATTGAAAACAGCCTGACCCGTTGCCAAACAACCTTCCAAGCCCTTCAGTTCGTTCAAGGCGTAGGGTGGAGCTAAAGATCTCTTCCTTTTCCCACCCGAAACGCCAGCCTCTTCACCGGGATTCGATGCATCCTTGAGAGTCTGCTGCAAAACAGTAGCAAATTTCCTGTCCGCTAAAGACTTGGCCAGCGAGAAAAGTGGTATCTTTTGAAACACGAAATCCAGGATCGTCCAGGTCAATGGGTACCGCCGTATGGTCTCTGCTTCAGGTGATGACCCGTTCATGGACTTTAGCAGCCATCTCAACGCGCTCTCCTCCGCTGCGTGGAATTGGTGGTCTGATGCCTCTGTGAGGTTATTCCATAACTTTTCAAGGTTCTCTCCGTTCCCCCCAGGCCCATTCTGGTCGAGACCTCTTACGGTCTTGATGAGATCTAGCTTTCCCTGTATTCAGAATTGGTGAGCTTCACCTCAACGCGACCAATCACAAGTGTGAAAAAAAAAATCTTACCATTATAATAGACCAAACAAAAAAAATCAAGGAAACATGAAGAGAAGAAAATGAAATAACGATTGGCGGATATTGGATTAAGATCAATCCAACTTATCCCGATGCTTTTTTGAAAATGAAAATTTATCTATAGCAGAAGAAACCAAGCCGTATAAGCTCGAAGCCTCAATGCAGCAGCTCCAAAATTTCGAAAAATTCTGCCGCAATCTCCACCCCGATCAGGCAATCGCCCCTCACCGCCCTCGAGGCGAAGAGCCATGATGAGGCCGGCTGGTTTTCGTGAAGTTTGACATCACTGCATCCACGCTTTTTCCCTTTCCTTTGCTCACGCCCAAGCCCGGCTCTTCGACGTCAATTGCGCTCCGTACGTAAGTGCGACACCAGCCGCTCCTCTAGTTATTTTACCGCCATCTCACACGAAAGATCCTCCTAGAGCAACGTCTGCCACCATGTCCGAGACCGCCGCCCCTCGCTCCCCAAGCGCCATTTCCCGGCCCGTCAGCGAAGCGCTTCTCAACGAGAAGGTACCGAGCCGAGCTTAACCCAGACGAAGCAATCTTCTTCTCCAAGGAATCATTTTACTAATCTATTGTTGAAAAACGCAACAGTGGGATCGCTGCCTTTCCAACCTCCTCGTCAAGTCCACCCTCGGTCTCGGATTCGGCGTCGTCTTTTCCGTCCTTCTGTTTAAGCGAAGAGCTTGGC